TAAATGTGATTTGCATAGCCAGGGGTAAAGGGGAGGGGGGCTCACCTAATACAGGCTCTATATTAAATAAAGAGAAAACAAAACTATAATTTCAGTGAGACGTATCATAGTTGAGAAAGAGTAGGAAAACGTGTTTGTCATAACCCAAGGTTGAAGGGGGGGGGGGGGGTTGCCTAATACAGGCTCTGTATAAAATAAAGTAATTTCAGTCAGACGTATCATAGTTGAGAAAGAGTAGGGAAATATAATGGGCGTAGCCACGGGGCAAAGGAAGGGGGGATCTGGAGCTCACCTATGAAGGTCATGTATAATAAAGAGAAAACAAAGTAATTTCAGTCTGACTCTTTATGGGCGAGAAAGAGTTGCGAAATGTGATTGGCGTAGCTCTGGGGAATGGATAGGGGGGGCGGGGGGCTTCCTTAATTCATGTTCTGTATTACATGGGGAATGGGGGGGGGGGGGGGAGGAAGGGTTCCCCTAATACAGGTTCTGTATTAAATAAAGAGAATACAAATCTTAATTTTAGTCGGTCGTATCATATTTGAGAAAGAGTAGGGAAATATGATTGGCGTAGCTCTGGGGAATGGGTGGGGAGGGGGGGGGGGCGGGGGGCTTGCTTAATTCAGGTTCTGTATTACATGGGGAATGGGGGGGGGGGAGGAAGGGTTCCCCTAATATAGGCTGTGTATTAAATAAAGAGAATACATACATGTATCTTTTATTTTAGTTGGAACTCACATATTCGAGTAGGAGAGAGAAAAGTGATTGGCGTAGCCAAGGGGTATGGGGAGCGGGAGAGCTCACTTAATACAGACTCTGTATTAAATAAAGAGAAAACAAAACTATAATTTAGTCGGACGTTTCATATTTGAGAACGAGTAGGGAAATGTGATTGGCGTAGCGACGGGGTGAAGGGGGATGGGGGGGGGGGGCTCACCTATGAAGGTCATGTATAAAATAAAGAGAAAACAAAGTAATTTCAGTCTGACTTTTTATGGTCGAGAAAGAGTTGGGAAATGTGATTGGCGTAGCCACGGGGAATGGGTGGGGGGGGGGGGGAGGGCTCGCTTAATTCAGCCTCTGTATTAAATAGGGAATGGGGGGGGATGTTCCCCTAATACAGGCTCTGTATTAAATAAAGAGAATACAAATCTTTAATTTTAGTTGGAACTGTCATAGTCGAGCAAGTATAAATGTGATTTGCATAGCCAGGGGAATGGGGGAAGGGGGGGGGGGAGGGAGGGGCTCGCTTAATACAGACTCTGTATTAAATAAAAAGAAAACAAAACTATAATTTTAGTCAGACGTATCATATTTGAGACAGAGTAGGGAAATATGATTGGCGTAGCCACGGGGTGAAGGGGAGAGGGGGGTGGGGAGCTCACCTATGAAGGTCATGTATAAAATAAAGAGAAAACAAAGTAATTTCAGTCTGACTCTTTATGGTCGAGAAAGAGTTGCGAAATGTGATTGGCGTAGCTCTGGGGAATGGGTGGGGGGGGGGGGGCAGGGGGCTTGCTTAATTCAGGTTCTGTATTACATGGGGAATGGGGGGGGGGAGGAAGGGTTCCCCTAATACAGGCTCTGTATTAAATAAAGAGAATACAAATCTTTAATTTTAGTTGGAACTCTCATATTCGAGTAGGAGAGAGAAAAAGTGATTGGCGTAGCCAAGGGGTATGGGGAGAGGGAGGGCTCACTTAATACAGACTCTGTAATAAATAAAGAGAAAACAAAACTATAGTTTTAGTCGGACGTATCATATTTGAGAAAGAGTAGGAAAATGCGAATGGCGTAGCCACAGGGTGGAGGGGCAGCTCACCTATGAAGGTCATGTATAAAATAAAGAGAAACAAATCTTTAATTTAGTTGGAACTCTCATAGTCGAATAGGAGAAAGGAAATGTGATTGGCATAGCCAGGGGGTAGGGGGGGGGGGGGGGGGCTCACCTAATAGAGGCCCTGTATAATATGAAATGAATAAATATCTTTAAATTAGTCTGAACTCTCATAGGCGAGAAAGAGTAAGTAAATGTGATTTGCATAGCCAGGGGGTAAAGGGGAGGGGGGCTCACCTAATACAGGCTCTATATTAAATAAAGAGAAAACAAAACTATAATTTCAGTGAGACGTATCATAGTTGAGAAAGAGTAGGGAAACGTGTTTGTCATAACCCAAGGTTGAAGGGGGGGGGGGGGTTGCCTAATACAGGCTCTGTATAAAGTAAAGTAATTTCAGTCAGACGTATCGTAGTTGAGAAAGAGTAGGGAAATATAATGGGCGTAGCCACGGGGCAAAGGAAGGGGGGATCTGGAGCTCACCTATGAAGGTCATGTATAATAAAGAGAAACAAATCTTTAATTTCAGTCGGAACTATCAATAGACTAGATAGAGTAAGCAAATATGATTAGCCACAGGGGAAAGGGGGAGGCTCGCATAATGGAGGCTCGCATAATGCAGGCTCTGTATTAGATAAAGGGAAAATAAGTAATTTCAGTCCGACTTTTTATAGTCGAGAAAGAGATGGGAAATATGCTGGGGCGTAGCCATGCGGAATGTGTGAGGGGCCAGGGGAGGGCTCGCTTAATATGGCCTCTGTATTAAATGAAGAGAAATCTTAGGTTACCCAACGCTAAATCTGAAGAATTCTGTTTCTTATATTAGGACAAATAACAAAAATAACGTGTTTCTCGTCCGGAAAAAGATGGCTGCCGTACTAATTATAGCTTTCCAAGTCTATCTAATTCACATATATGGTGCTATGTGAGTATACTGATGCCATGTATGACAAAACAAATGATTTGTATCACCTTAGAATAGACTCTAGAAGCTATTGGAACATCATCGCAACCCTTCTTTTTTTTTTGGGGGGGGGGGGTTGTATATTTCAACTAAATAGTAAATAGTAAACAAAAGGAGGCAGCGGGCAAAAAGGAGGCTGGCAGGGACGAGAAACACTTCACTTTTGTTATTTGGTCTAACGCTAAACCTAATTCAAACCCTAACTCTAACTCTAACCCTAACCCTAACTCTAACCCTAACCCTAACCTAACCCTAACCTAACCCTAAGTCCCTAATTAACCCTAACCCTAACTCTGGGTCTATGTACATAAATCCTAAAGTTAAGCCGAGTAATTTACTCAATTACTGTTTGATATCAACTGTTCTCAGCCTGAATGTCCGGATAAACAACCCGTTTATCAAACAAACGGCCGAGGGTAAAGAATTATGTGCTCGCGTACTCTCTTCGGAACAGCAGCTTCCCCTGCCAGAGTTCTGGGGAGCTTGCTGATTAGATCTACGTAATATTCACAACACAAACATCACAGAAAAGACGGAGATCTTATCCATCATTTACAAATTTCTTACCAAAATTGTTGATCAGAGCTTGAAGTCGAATACGATGAATAAATAAAATGATGGCCACCGACTTCCGATGTGTTTTCATGATTTTGTGAGAGATTAGACACACTGTTTCACTCCGACTGGGATCAGAATCGTGACACATGTACTCGCTTTAGAGCCCCATATATGTTTACACGTAGTTTATCACTTTCGACCAAAAGAGGGCGTATTTTTAACACATTAGAAATAACCCTTTTTCCAAACAGATTTTTAACTTATAAAAGTGGGAAAATATAGTTCTAAAATCCTATAAAAGCAAAATCTAACATCTGTTTGATATTTCAGAATAGCATTTGAACAAAAATAAAACAAATATATGGTCAAACTAGGTGTATGAATTGACCCGAAAGCTGGTTCACAATGACAATCTCCCATTCATTCATACACATTCTCTAGAGATGCCTTAAATTTCACCATGAAATATTTAAGTTTCCAATGCTAAATTTCCTTTTATTTCAACAAAAAACGAAAAATAGTTGTTAAATAATCAATTTAATAACATTCATTTATAATCTTCATCGAAAAATTTGAAATTATGAAGGAAACTAAAACCTAAATTTTGTTCCACAATGACAAATTTTATAGATGTGCTATTCGTCCAAAACAAATATTTAATATTTAAAAAATTAATTAAAAATATTTTCTTGCATAATTTCAGGGAAAAAATGATCATTTTTATTTATTTAGGGTATATTCTTTGTCCGGAGCACCATCAATTCTTACTGCACTACTTTTATTACAATTACAGATAAGTTTTAGTTTCAGAGAGAAAAACGTTTTTTTATATAGATGTACGTACTTAACTAGTATATTGTTCATCTTGTCTTTTTTGCAATTTTTCGAAAACTGAAAAACGAATTGAAAAATCAATTAAATGATCAAAAAGGAATAGAAATGCTCTTTATATCTCTTTTGGAGAATATGGAATTCGCCAAGAAATGAAAAAGCTATGTGGCTTTACATAAATTTTGGTTCACTTTTACATGTTAAAGAGAGAGAGAGAGAGGGAGAGAGAGAGAGAAGATAGAGAACAATAAGATCGAGAGACAGCTATATAAATGAAAGATGTAGTGAACAAAATATGAAAGAAACATCAGTCAGTGTGAGGGATCGAGAGAAAAGGTGTTAAAATAGGCTGATAGAGAAAAGGAAATAAAGAGAATGATGCAGGTGAGATGCTTGAAAGGGGGATAGTTAAACTGGAAAAAAGTGTTACGAGGAGTAGAGAGACAGAAAGCAAATAATGAGAGAAAGAAACGAAGACAAAATATTATCAGGGATAATCGCGAGGAAGATCGAGAGCAACTCCCATTTTGATAAAAATAAGAGTGACAGAAAGAGAAAAATATGCATTTATAGATCGTCAAAAAGAGAAATACATGCATACTGATTGGGAGACTTATTGAGTAAAATAAACGGATTTTTTTTTATATAGAGAAAACACAAAAATACAGTGAAAGAAAGAGAATCAGAGATGAGAGAAACAGAAAACGCAAACAATGAGCTGCGACAGCTAGTGCCACGACAGTGCAGCGACAACAACAATGCGCGTATTACTAGTCGATCATTCGTCATAATTATACGTTCGCTATATACGCATAATAGTTTACGGTATATAAAATGGGAGTGAAACATGGCGGATCCTGTACGCGTAATTTTGCTATTGGTCACAGTTTCCTTTGTACTTTTTTCACCATGTCGAGCAACAACACACTGGGTAGTTACCGAAGATGGAATGATTACACAACAGGTAATGGAATGTATTTGTGTATTCAGATGATTTTTTCTTGAAAGAGAGTTTGTAAAACATAATCTAGTCGGTTGTGAGGTCTATGGGAAATCATGTAGTAAAGGTGTTATTGCGCGAATGTTCAGTCCCACTCGTAGCTTAATGTGTTGGCTGATCTCTCGCAATCCCTTTAGAATTTCGAACTGAAGTCACGTCAGCTCAGCTCAGTAAGGTCGCCTGAAACCTTAGAAAATACTGAGACGCTTAGTTGCGTAGTAGATGATAGAAGAAGAACAAGAACTTGAATTGAAGCTTTGAAGAAGACGAACAAGAAGAAGAACACTGAACTCATGCTGAACAGGAACCAGCTGGGAACAGGAACAAGAAGACGAACAAAAAGAAAGAGAAAAAAAAAAGAAGTAGAAGAAGAACAAGAACAAGAAGAAGACGATGAACAAGAAGAAGACGAACAGGGCAAAGAAGAAGAAGAACAAGATGAAGAAGAATCTTAAGAAATATCTGTTTAATTTAGCTTAAATTTGATTACCATAACCTTTTAATATTTTATGTCTGTACCTTTCCTATTGCACTCTGTATAAATGTATCATGTATGTATTTCATCTTTTTGCACAAGCTGTGCCTTAAGCATTTGACTGTCAAGTGGATTTGGCGCCTTATAAATCTTATGTATTGGGCAATTCCACGGTAACGGAAGGACACTCAGACAAGATTTTTGAACTTCAGGTTCATACTAAAAGAAATGTTTATTAGTATGTATTAAACTATGGGGAACAAAATGTGTTTCAGTCAAGTGGAAAGCTTCATCAACTTCACAAAGTTTGGATAACTAATTAACTGGAAAAACCATGTCCATTTTTATGTCCTTCCGTTACCGAGATAATTAATATGCACATTCTTAAACTACTTAACTATAATGACAATTTTTTGGGGGAGAATTAAAGGCACTTATATAGGTATTATATCTGTACTGTTTCACATCTTATACTAATAAAACAGTTCTTTTAGTATGAACCTGAAGTTCAAAAATATTGTCTGAGTGTTCTTCCGTTACCGTGGAATTGCCCTATTATTATTATTATTAAGAAGAAGATGACAAACAAGAAGAAGAAGACTACAGGAACAAGATCAACAAGACAAGCAGGAACAAGAACAAGAAGACAAACAGCAAGAAGAACAAGAAAAAGAAGAAGACGACGAACAAGATCAAGAAGATGAACAGGAATAAGAACAAGAACAAGAAGACAAACAAGAAGAACAAGTAGAAGTAGAAGAAGAAGGAAAAGAAAAAACGCAAAGAGATGGAGAATAAGGAGCAGAAAGAGAAGACTAGGAGAAAGAAAATAGGAAAGAAGGGAAAAATTATTAAACTCAAGGTTGCTTTGGGGACAAGGTCTCATTGGTCTGAAATTAAAGACAGTTCAATCTTCTGTGACTTTTCTACGGTAGAGCGATGTATGTACAAGTAGTATTTCTCCTATTTACTTGTTGTCTGTAGACTAATGGACTAAAATGTCTTTAGATGACGTTCTAGAAACATATGATAAGTCTCTTGTCACTTGCGGACAAGTCGAGTGAAAGAACCTTCTGGAGTTTATTTATTTCTACAAAAGATTGGAATTCATACAGAGCAAAAAATGGTTTATATTGTATATACATGTAGAGTCTAGATCTATCTAAGTCCTATAAAATAGAATTGACATACTGTATCTCCATATATACTCCAGTCCTTAGCCAGGCGAAACTTCTTCAACTTCTTCTTCTTCTTCTCCTCCTCCTTCTTCTATACTATTGTAAATAATGAAATTACTTTGTAGCTTTTGTTTTATGTCTGCCTGACTTGCAAAGTGCATACCTGGTTCCCTGACTTAATAGCAATCAGGCATGCAGTCTGGATGTACATTGTAGATTATATTGATATGGCTTTGTGGGTTTTGTTTGATGTCTGCCAGACTTGCATAATTTAGCCAGGTGGTAGATTGCTTTACCTCTTTAATTGCTTTACCTCTTATTTATGTTATGTACTCATGCTCTAATATGTCTGGATTACCATGCCAGAAAAAAGGATAAAAGTGTGGACCTTGTGTAGTGGCACGATGCAGATAGACTAGGTCCTGTATTGAGTAGCAGAATGACTCTGAACTGAATACACCTGTGCCCGCGTCCTTATTTTCTGGTTTCCCTACACTATCATCAATCAATTTGGAGAAGTTTTCCTGGGGAGGCTATTGTGCTTCTTCTTCTTTTTCTTCTTCCATTTCGAGGGGTCAGTGACACAAATACGTAACTCCATTTTGGCCATTTTTAGAAAAAGTGGTTCATGTGTCACTGAGCAATTGGGCCTTAAGAAGTTAAGTTTATGTTTCACTAGCCATTGATTTCGATGGGGTGTTGGGTGGAGTTAAGTCTTTGTGTTTCCTGAACATTTTGATATCAAATACTTATTTTGGCAAAATATGGAGTTACATCTTTGTGTGACTGAACTCTTGATTTGTTATCATTTTATCTGCACAGTTGGATTCTGTGTTCAACCTTCGTGAGCCCTACAACCTGATAGCAGTCCTTGGTCAGGAGAGGAGCTCCCAGGAGGTCAATCTCCTGGAGGAGAGTCTACGGCTCCAGAAGGTCAGCATCGAAGCCAATGAGGACAAGGATACCGACCTGGAGCAGCGCTTCCTGGAGACGGATCCAGACTGCGTGGCTGCAGGTAGACCACTCTCAGAGTTTGAGCTTTATATCAGCACCGCCCTCTCACTCGAACAAAAGGGGATCAAGTAAGTGAAGGCTACATCTGTACATTTGTACTATGTTCAGTCAAACCTGCTTTAGAGACCACCTGTCTACAAAGACCACATTTTTTGTTTCCCTTGAAAATGGTTTCTCAATTGAAACATGTACTAAAAGAACCTGTCTACAAAGACCAATCGCTACAGAGACTAATTTTTGTGTTTCCCTTGGGCAGTCATTATAGACAGGTTTGACTGTACCAATTCCTTGAATTCCAACCCCAACGTACATGGGACTTTGAACAAACCTCATTGAATTCAAGTGGAATAAAAATGCAAACATCCCCAGTGGGTGATGTGATTTAAAAGTACTTTCCTGGTTAATTAGTGGGGTTGAACTCGTATCTTACAGTTCTCACAACAAAGGATTTTAGATGAATTGAATATATAATCGAAATTCTGTGCACTTCACAACATAACAGTAGCAACAGTATTAGAATAAAACAAATAATAAATACCTTTATCAATGCTAGTCATTATGGGTTTTTTTCTCCTCTTCACCCAACTGTATTATGCTCGTATGCATAATCAGCATACATGAATATGTATAAGGTTCGTAACACAGTAAATAACATGGTTTCATTGTATATTTCATAGTATATTTCATCCCTTCTAAAACCACATTTTACAAGTCGATCTGTTTTACATTCAGTAATATTACGCTAAAGGAAATCTGGACTTAATGAGACAGGAACAGAGCATTTGCATCATCATTTCCTGTTCTGGGAAATAAGTTTGAATAGCTTTAATATCCAGGGTAAAATTTTGCTCTGATTCCAAAAACACCAGTATCATAGTCCCTACTCCTAACGTTTTGGTCATTCTAGCCACTTTTTGGCCCAAGTTTACCATTATGGTCACTTTTGATCAAGGGTAATTGTTCCAATCGTTATTATCACCAAAAGAGATTTGATGGGCTTTTTCTATGTAAAAAAACCCCCAAAGCTCTAAAAAGTAGTTTATTTGACTCTCATCAACAACATTATGGTCATTTCGATAACTTTTTGGCAAAAGAGGACTATTTGTATTGATTTCTGTCAAAAATCTGTCTAAAATTTCAGTCAAAATCAATTGATTTGTGGGTATTGACGTCCAAATTCAGTATAAAAATGTGCGCTGATCTCAGAAAAATCAACCCTATTAAATGAACCACCCAGGTCTAACTATTTTGGTCATTTGATCAAAGACTAGCATTTTGCTGCGATGCACTAGATGAAAGATGTCGACCTGCGAGCTGAAAAATTGACCCGTCAAAGCTTGTCGGTGGGGGTGCTGTTAATTGTAAATCCATCATATTGTCATCAAAAATCAAAATAATGACATGTCATTGGTTAATGTCTGGACAGAGATTGCTCTATTCATGTAAGTTCAAAAAGAGACATCTATGCAAACACCAATGGTAAGTTATGTGTACTCTAAGTCTGTTACCATCACTTTCCCTAACATAGAAAATAACATCATTTTCAGGCTACTATCACAGCTACTAACCATCAAATTGTTTTCTTTTCAGTCCTTTAGACCATATGAAGATGAAGATCGGTGAAGTGAAGAAGTTCCGCCAGCCAAACTGCTCCAGAGCCCTAGAGCTCACCTACAGCATACATGCATTTGATCACCTCAAGGTACATATTGGGCACTTTTAGATTTGCACGTCGACATAGTGGACGGCTACGTGTGTCGTCCTCTTAAGGCAATGTGACGTCCTTATAAGGTACTGCCAGTGCCTTATAAGGACGTCACCCGTAGCAGTCTGTCGACGTGCAAATCTAAAAGTCCCTAGTATCAGGGTTTTTGCCAAGGCATAACACCCTTCATGCTAAAACCAAGTGTGTCTGTATGTGCGTGTGTCTTGGGGGGGGGGATGTATTAACATTATTTTGAAAATTCCACATAGCAGCCCAAGGGCTGAGTTACATTAGGGTTTACAAAGTAAAATGACAACATCAGTTTTTTGTCAGAAAACTGTATGTATATCATAATTAATATGAAGGAAAAAAGAGAGAGAGAGAGAGAGAGAGAGAGAGAGACGAGACAAAAGGGAGAGAAAAAGAAACAATAATATAGAGAAGCAAGTATTCAACATATCCAGCTTTCCTAGACAAGTTTCTTTGTTACATGTACATCGACAAGACTGAATAACAGAACAAAACCTTACAGTACGTACCCCTAGTGGTGAAGAATAGACCAGTTAAGAGCCTGTTAGGAGTCACTTAAGCAGTGTGGCTGCATGAGGCAGGGATAATAATATGAATGATTTTTGTCACATGAAATTTGAAAGCTGTGATGTTTTTGTTTTACAGGCTGTACAGGAGAGATATAACATCAGTAGCTTTCCTGAACCTGAGCTCATGTATCTGCTGCCCTCTGTTGGCAGCTTAGAGAATGCTGGTCACATGATCTACAAGGCTATATCAAAGGTATCTGTCAATTCTTGTTCTCTAAAAGTGGTATATTCTTTGTTATTTCACTTTTTCTCTGCAGTATTATTTGCCAAATTTATTTTCTTTACAAGTGCAGCTTTCTTTCTAGAATGTAATTGTAATTAATGAAGACATTAGCATACTTACAATACCGGTAAACAGATTAATATTAGAAATCCTCTAAAGGTGTATGATTAGTATGATGTAATTTCCGTGCTTTGACCTGTAGGTTCCCATGAGAATCTACATCTGGATTGTTCTCTTATCACATGTCAACAAAATTCTAGTGTGCTATCAGATAAAGAGCTCATTTCCGTACTAGTTCAATGTTAACACGTAGTTGAACTTTACAGTGCCTCCTTTTAGTGATGTTATGCTAGCAATTACACATTATACAGGAGCAGAAAGAGCAACATTCACAGAGAATGTTGGTCTACATGAAACTCCACTGCAGTATATCATGTCTATGAATAAGAGTGATTCAATAGTAATTAAATCATTGAAGTATCTAAATTGGTATTGCAGTGTAAAATATAAAATCACTTTACTTGTGTACAAATTTTCAATTTTCAGTCAAATTGTTTTCACATTGGTTCATTGTTATTGTATCAAACTATGGAAGGAGTGAAAAATAAGATTAACTGTTGCCGATTAATGTAGAAAATAAGAAATGTCTGAACTGCTATGGGTTACTGCAGGGCTCTGTTTCATAAAACTTGTCAAATGCTGGATTTCTATGACATATTTTGCTGTCAGCCCATCAGATGCCACAATTTCAGTAGCTTATAACAGCTATCGTAACTTGTTATTTATATCAAGTTTTATGAAACTGGGCTCAGGTATCTGAAGAGCAAATGACCAGCATAATTTCTCACAAACCTCACAGTTTTAAGACAATTCAATGAATAAAAATGATCCATTTTGCATGATTTAATGTTTTTGTTTCTTTGTACCACCATGAAAAAGATTAATGTAATAATGATAAATCCCATGTTGCTCTCTCCTCACAGAACAGAACATCCTGGGTTCTGTATAACCTGGCAGCGTACTACTGGCGGGTCAAAGGTCGTCCAGAGCAGGTCATCGAGTGTTCAAGGAGGGCACTGCACCTTTCACCGCAGTAAGATAACAATTTTTGTCAAAGATTTGTTTTGTTATTTTTGTTTGTTTTGTTATTTTTGTTTGTTTGTTTTGGGGCTTTCTTTACAAAAAAAAACACACTCTTTTCTTTTAGCTACATTTTTACTTAATAAAAAAGCTACTGCAATTCATGCAAACTGTTAGTGCAATTGATTTCACAGAGCAATAAATGCTTACTGACTGATATGTGCGCTAGTTGAATGGTGATATTTCTATAAGCATCAAACTGCATAAAAGGTACAGAATAATAATAAACTGCTACATCAACCATCTGTCCATGTCAATGATTGCCTCAATCTTGTTTAATTGGTCTTCTTTACTGCTTTGTGTTGAATGCAGGGAGCACAAGAATGTAGCGTTGATGAACATGGCTAACGTTCTCCACCGGGGTCATCTATCAGGGGATGCATCCGTTCTAGCTGATGCTGCGTTGGATGGAGATCAGGAGATTGATATCGTCTACTTCACTCTCGGCAATATCTATGCTGTATGTCAGATCAAAGCTTATTTTATTCCATAGTGTCAAATAACCCTGTACATGATGATGATGATGAGCATTTATATGGTGCCATATATCTGTTTTAAAAAACATTTAAAGGCGCAAGCTCCTCCAATAAAGTTAGCATTTAAATGTCTGAAGGAAGATGTGAGTCTTGGGCGATGCTTTGAAGTGGTCCAGGTGTTCAATTTCACGAATAAATGATAAGAGGGAGTTCCACAGGCGAGGAGCAATAGAGGAATCATACATACATACATACATACAATCTGTTTATTAAAAGGTAAAGGTCGTTTGTACGAAACAGTAAAACCCACCAAGATAAAGTACTGGACACGCACTCATGAAGTTTGTCATCATGATATACCTGTTCCCGTGGTCGAGTGGTTAAGTCGACGGACTGTCGATCACAAGGTCCGCGGTTTGGCAAGACATTGATCTACATTTGCCACACTCAACCCAGGTGATATAAATGAGTACCTGGCAGGAATTAATTCTTTGCAATGCTAGAGCGCCGACATGGCAGCACAGCTAAAGCCGGGGTAATAATCTCCAAGTTTGGAAGCGCTTAGTGATTCTAAAAAGCGCTATATAAAAACTGAGTAGTAGTATTATTCAACATCAGAGCATTCCATGATACACAGGAGGGGGTATTTTTGCAACAAGGGGGGGGGGGGGGGGGGGGGGGGGGGGGGGGGGGGGGGCGGGGGGGGGCAATGAAAGTTATTTATGAAGGGTTTATTGCCTTTTGGTCTTCAACCCGTTCGTCTACTATCCAATTGGTCTATTCCCATATGACCTACGCTCAGCCCGTCTATTCACATGGTCTAATAATCATTTCTTCTACTTATCACTTGGTCTAATGATCATTTAGACTAATAGTCATTTGGTCCAATTTCCATTTGGTCTAATCTCAAATAAGTCTACTACCCATTTGGTCTTTTGCTCATTTAGTCTTATTTGGAGTTTGTCTAATAATTTTACTTTGTGAGTCTCGTGAAGAGACTAATTGAGAGAACCGTTTCGAACATGTGCACTCATTATCGCTTTGTGGCAAAAATAAATGCACTTTCTTCAATTATGTGAAATGTGCAAGATCTATGCTGTAAGATTAACACAAGCCAGTCCAGATGTATGCTCTCAAATAGGCAGTATCTATAGTATGATGTAAATATAACACAAATTGAGCCGAGCCCAAACACGTTCACTCTTACCCCATTATTTCTCACAGGCGATAGGAGAGTACAATAAATCTAGCTGGTGTTTTGGTCATACGAGTCGTATAAACCCAGCATTGGGCGCAGCAGAGAAGAGACAGCATGCCGTCAACTGCCATCAGAAGCTAGAGAGGGCGCTAGAAGCTCAGCATTCGTAAGTTTTTGTTTGCTCCAATCTTGATAATGAGAATGGACGAACGGGAATTAAGTTGTATTTTGTAGTCAAAATAATATCACCTTGTAATTAAATGACCATGTTCACAATATAAAGATCTTTTAAAATCAAATCTCATCAGATTTCTTCTCTCAATTCTGTGTTTATTGTATGGGCCCACCACTTTACATAACTGTCCAACACATGGAATCTAAGATTATTATCAACCAGAACTCTTTACCAAAGGGTTGTACGCCACATGCTTTCAAGCCTTTCCTCCTCAGGTTTCCCAGGTGATTTTGGATGTTTGACTGGGGTTCTCGCATATTACATGTAAGCTTCAATGTACAGTAACCCATATCAGTTCAGGGTTTGGAGTGTCTAAAGGAATCAGCTTTTCCTCCTAATAATGGCAACATTTATTTGTAATTTTCAACGATTCAAATTTTCCAAAAATGATAATGTATATTGAATGAAACAGTGTGGATGAAAATTACAACAACAAAAATTGATGGGAAGTCTCCAATTTGTACATGAAAACAGTGATTATGAATTTCACTTTTTATAACCAATTTACTGCAACAGAAATGGACTACCAGTAGTGATTTCTGCTCATTTTAAATTTATTCAGAGCATTCTGGTTCAAAAGATAAAAACAAAATGTCACTAAAAGGTGACACTTAACTGATAAAAGGCAAGGCTTGACAAGAACGTCTTCCCAGGTTCACTCCATTACTCCTCCCCCTACAAAAAAAAATTTGGAGCCCCATGGAACGAAACTTTACACATTTTGTTTCAGACCCCAGTGACAAAAATTAAATGTGTAGCCATAAATTGAGGATGCCTTTATCGTTGATCCAGCTCATTACAGCGAACCCTGTCTGAATTGAAAGACTATCAGACGAAGCAAGAGTACTTCCTAGAGCTACAGAAGAAGATGTTAGGAATCCAACGCAAGGCTGAAGATCAGTATGAGGCTAACCTGAGCTACCAGAAACATCGCTTTCTACAAGAGATGGGTAACAAAACAAGTCTTCTTCTTCTTCCATCGAGTATGGTCCTCTTTGTACTTGGGAGTATAGTTGTATTTTGAAAGATTTTTTTTTATTATACTCAATACTTTTTGTGTATTAGCTTTCTCTCTTCTCTTTATTGTATATAGAGTGGTGAAGTGTGACGTCATCAAAAATCTATTTTGTGAATTTCTCAATTTTTCTTCATTTTCCAAAAGAGCATCACAAATATTGTCCAAATGTCGAATACCAATTGAATATGTTAAGTATTGGCTTGTAATATGTACAGCGCCATGATCATCAGTGCCTGGCAGATACCGGCGCTATATAAATATCCATATTATTATTATTATTATTAAAAAGCTGTTGTGAAATGTGTATTTGCAGGTGAGAATCCTCGCTGTGAGGTCAGTCAGCTAGGCTCAGGGACACAGTTCCTCATGTGTAGGAGGGATGGCATACCAGAGACGGATGTCTACGGCCAACCGTTCGATGACGAGAAGGAGATCGAAGTCCTGGATGAGTCTCGTTTCCAGAACAATTGTGTGGTCTTTCCTGATGGGGTAAGTGGAGTTCACATTTCTCATATGTGCATTATATAAGGCATTTATGTGGTGGGGGTTATTTTACCTGGCTGCTAAGAAAGCATAAGTGCTTGTAAGTAAGCAACCAGACTGCCGACAGCTTTAGGTCCTCTCCGAGGGACTTGGTAATGAGGATTAATGCCTTTCCAAAGGGCACTAGCGCATCGACTTGGTTTCGAACTTGGGTCACCAGATTACGAGACCACTGCTCTACCATCAGGGAGCCATATGTACTTGCTTTTGTTCAACTCTGTTTATTATTTACTACTACAGTGCTTTAGATTTCATTTAGATTTTTTTTCCCCTTCAAAGTTCAATTATTGAAGTACTTTTTTAATGTATTCATTATTATTTATTTCATAAACTTTTAATTTTTTAAGTTATTGATGACGTAATAGATTCGCTCCATTCAGGGTTGTTTACAATAATTTTATTAGGATGAATGTATTATTGGAAATTTTCTGAAGGGAAAATAGATAAATGCATTTTTGAAGGGCCTTACAATATACATGACAGAGTTGCCAATTTGTGCTTGATTGATTGCACCTTCACAAATTCATGATTTTCTTATTTTTAATTGTTTTTGCTCAAACTTTCACGAACCAGTTTCTCTCATGTTTCTGCTTCTATTAAAACCAACCTTTTGATAATGAGGGTTAAAATGTTCTTGTATAATGCATAATAATAATGCATGGTTATGATAGGATAAGAACTGTCTGAACCTGAGCGGAGCAGGAGGTCCAGCAGGTCCAGTAGAGCATATGACTTACTCAATCCCTCAAGACACAGTGCCTTTGACATCCCTACCTGATAGAATGGAACAACCCAGTGACTCAGAGTGTGCAAGATGGAAGGGTATCAATGTGAGTTGGAAGGAGTTTGCACAGCGGATTGTTCCATCAGGACTAAATGAAAGGTGAGATCAAGCCTGCAGCAATTTTGAATTTGACGAAATTTGATTATTACTTTCTGCTGCGGACAAGGAGGCGAGACGAAATGGAATGAAATCTGATGAAAATGAAATTTTGAAGTGTTAAAAATAAAAAATAAAAAAAATTTCCATCAACTAACTTATGAAAAATGACAAATTGACTTTAAAATTTGCACGAACCTGGATTCCTAGAACAGAAGTAAAATGCACAAAAATGATTTTAAAAAGTGTTAAAATGGAAGGAAAATCCTACAATACGAAACCTTTTAGTGTGCCATGTTGATATAGCTTTAACAAAATTGTTTTTCTTTTTGCTCATCAGTCTTGAAGCTCTGAAGAAGAATGTAGGAATGCCTGCTGACTACCCGAACACTAATGCTCCAAGCTGCTCATACAGGGCTCCTCTCTTCAACGGCAATACAGGCGTAGACTTTATAGAGGGCATAGCAAACAGGGAGTATCTACCAAATGTGGGCTGCCCAATCAAACTCATGCTGGTAAAGAGTTATAGAAATACTCATAGTTATAGTAATAGTAAATAGTTATAGTAATAGTACATTTTTGTTTCATTTGGTCTTCTTGTTGTAAAAATTCACCAGAAAGCCATTAAAGGGACTTTGTAACATTGTTCAGATGAGAGTGAATAGGACTAAGGTAGCGACTTCAATGCAAGGAATATAATTTCATCCAAAAATTACGCAGTTTTTTCATCAACTTTCAACAATGTTACTGAGTCACTTTAAAATGAAACTGTTGTGGAAATTGCGCTGGTAGGATTTCTTGCAAGGGAAGGGCTTCAATTAGTGCAGCGCAGTTAATTAGACTGCGGCTTAGCATAGATTGTACCCTGACACCAGAGGAGTTGCCCGCTGGAGGCATTCAAAATCCAGTATGCTCGTTGAATTTTCATCTCCCAAACAGTACTTTTTCAGAGCAACCTTAAAAATGGCTGAAATATTTCTGGTCACGATGAAAGCTATCAACTAATCAAAAAACAATAAATTTTGATGCAGGATATAATAATGTTTACAGCAAGAGCTATAGTAATAGTAATACATGTAGTATTAGTAATTAGAGTCCCTCTCTTCAATGGCAGCTCTGACATAGACTTTGTATGAGAGTGCATAGCAAACAGGGCGAGTCTACCAAGTGTGGGCTGCCCCCATTAAACTCATGCAGGCAAAGAGTAATAGAAGTAGTAAGAACAGCTACCTATCTTTTGTGGTTAACACTCACCCCAAGGGATGCTTAAGGCACCTACAAAGTATTCTAATGATCCTGGCTTTAGCCTACCTGCCCTAAGGTACAGAAAGCATCTAACTGATTACTTTCTACAGATACCCATTTATTACACCCATGCTTACGACATAGTTGATTAGTTTGCGTTGGTACTTCAATCTTCATATGTTGCTTTCTTTTATTTTACCCATTGTTTCTCAGGTGTTCCGAGAGTATCTGGATGCTCAGAATCTGATGGGGCGAGAGTTTGATTACCGTGTAGCTTACGCTATGTCAACCAAAACGGTAATCAGCTTCTTTTTTTATTTCTTTTCTTTTCTCTATTCATTTTCTTTTTTTTTGTGACATATTATATATTGTCTCTTTGTGTGACAAGGGTTCCATAATGGGATCCTTTATTCAAAATATGAGCTTCAGATATTATTTCATTGTAAGAAATGATGTGAGTTTAGATACACATATTGCAGTTTAATATGGGCAAAAGTGAAAAATAAAAATGTGAGTTGATTCACAATCCCCCAAAATGGGCACTCATGAAAGTTGACTTCCTTACGGGCCTTAGTATAAAACTTCCTATCCCCCCCCCCAAATTTTTTTTTTTGCTCTTTAGATTGTGATAAAGCATTTGAAAATCTGCTGTGTAAGAATGATTTTATGTCTCCTAATGATACACACATCTGAAGATCGATCCCCTGTAAATATGAATTTGTCAGTTTTATTTTTGTATAACCAAGATGTTGTATTGCCCTTTGTGACCGACCCAAAAATTTCGAAATCTACAGTCAGCTTTAAAATTTATTTTTTACAGAAAAAAATGTATTAAAGCATTCAAAACTGAGAAATATCTGCCCAAAGAGGGAGTAAAAAAGAAGAAAAAAGTTGGGGAAAAAAAGATTTCCACTGACCGACCCATGTTTTGGCACCTAAAGGGGCAATACAACATCTTTTTATTTTAGGCCTTATAAAGAGTTGCGATTGATTTAAAATCATTAGCAACTTAAAATCAATTCCAACTTCTATCTCTCATGTACCATAAACAGTTGCAATTAATTACAAGTTGTGATTGATTTGGATCTATCGCAGCTCTGTATAATACAGGACCCAGACCTCAAATTCATTTTTTAATACAATCTTAACTTTGAGTTTCAACTTTCAAATCTAAAAACTTGTTTTTTGTTGTTACAGGATTACAAAGATATATGGCTGATCTACAGTGCAGCAGGTATTTACTGGCGAGTTCACCATGACGATACTAAAGCCATTGAGTGTCTACGGAGGGCGCTCTTCTTCGCACCCGCTGACCGGGTCAATATTCCGCTGACCAACATGGCCATGACGATGGTTGACCACGAGCGCATGGAGGATGCCATTCAGATTCTACGTATGGCTTTGGTTGTAGATAGCATGAAGGTGGGTTCTATGGTGGTGATTATGGTGGTGATATTGATGATGGTGATATTATGATGATGATGGTAATGATGATGACAGTGAGCGTTATCATTGTTATTATGCAAGTGTGGAAAAACATCAGAGAATAGATGTTCCCTGAAAAGCATGGCTCTTCAAATCCTCCATATACTAAATATGACGAGTAACAGCTTAAAAACAAGGCCCGATTTCTATGCCACATGTCTGTGTAGTCCTATATACATCTTTCTGTGTACAGTGCTTGTCAGCTTACCAAGACTGGGCCAAATTTTTTATAATTTTGTGGACTCCAGAACCTTGCAGTACACACCAATATTTATACTACATGATAACCTTTTTCTGAGCGATTCCACACCATTTCTTTCACAATGCAATCGCATGACCAGAACTCAGCTTTATCTTTTTTAAAAGTTGTAACATCATAATCTAAAAAGAATTCATTTGTTTGTTCCATACCCATAGCCCACAATCCGCTACCTGCTTGGATGTTTATATGCCCATCTGGGCCGGTACCACCAAGCAAGACTAGAGAGTTCTTTAGCTTACAATCTTGATCCAGAGTCTGATGATGCCTTTGAGGTCTCCTCTAGGATTCGATGTTTGCTCAAGGCTTCAGGAGAAGATAACAAGGTAAGATACTCTAAACGGACTTTTTAACATTGTTCATATGAGAGAAAATGGTGCTAAGGTAGTGACTTTAATGCTAGATGTACAATTAAAGATATCTTTTATCCATTATTAATGATGATAAATTAGGAAAAACTGATCTGATCGATTCCTTAATTCTTCCAACTATATTATTACAATTCAATTACATTCTAGATGAATGTAAATAGTCTCAAAGCAATGAATGGGATCTTTAAACCATACATTAAATGTTGAAAGATTTTTAAAAGCCTGTCTAATATCTTATTTTTATGGAAAAACGGTTGGGAAAATTCTAAAATTGTTGGGAGAATTTACTGTTAGAGGGTGTCGCACAGTGACGCCTTCAAAGAAAACCATAATTATCTTTGTGGTTTGAGAATTTTTTCAGGATTTTTTGCATGCTAGAGGGTACATTTTTTTTATCAACCTTCAACAATGTTACCAAGTAACTTTAACAAATGCTCCTGCAATAATCGCTCTGCAATCATTTTGCTGCATTTGAAAAATTTCAAACTTCAACCTTGGTCCCAACACTTACCCATCAAAAACCTTGTATGAAAACAAATTGCTAGGTTATTTTTCAAAATGTCAATAGAATAAAAATAAACAAGCTCCACATCATTTTCAGCTTTTACCACATTCTCTTTATAACGGGGCATATTTCAATCTAGCAGCAGCATGATCATTTGCTCTGGCACTGATTACTCCGTCCTTCATTTTGTCAAGGGTGCGGATATCGCCATCTCTTTGAGTCCTAAGAGATCCTCCCCGTCCGATCCTTTAAACCATGGCGTCAGTCTCGGGAAGCCATTCTCTTCTATCCAATAGAGAGCTTGTTGGTTGGTCCATTTAATGACGTTACTGCTGCACACTGGTGCAAGCCCTTTCCAGCTTGAATTAGGCACGCCCATGAATCCTCCGTTTGTCCTCTGCTGAAGCGCTTCAAGGGACTTTCCACCAGAGCCGGCGGTTCCGGTAGACAAGACGTTGCTTTCTAGAATTATTTGAGGATATGAGGTATAATAATAATAATAATAATAATAATAATAATAATATTACATTTATAAAGTGCCTTTTCATATGATACAAAGCACATAAACAAGAAATACTTACAAACAAAGAGAGAAGACATTACCATACAAAGCTTACATTAATTACAAACAGAGAGGATTATATAACAAATTAGAATTGATTTGTTTTCAGCACTTTGTGTTCTGGATGCGTTTTTTAATGCCACCAACATCTTCCTAAGTCGCCATAGTAGTGCCATGCCATAGCAAGGCGCTAATACATGTATTTCCTTGCTTGTGTGCTTATCGTCAACAGCCCAACCCGAGCAAAGCAGCAAAGACTGGCAAAGTTAGTGCAAGCACACCAGCTGTTGAGTCTGTCCCTGCATGCGTGCAAGGCCCACCTCTAGGGGAACAACCCAGCCAGAAACAGCCCCTGCTGGACCCCCTGGGGCTAGTATTAACCCAACCAATGGTCAGGTAAGTAAGGCTAGTTTGATATCAACTGTCCAGGTGTGAAGTCAGAATCATGTGATGTGTGTAGCAATATGTATTATTAACCATATCAGACATCTGAGCAGGGCAATTTTTAAATTGTATTGCCCTCAAGGTTTAATTGATAAGCCAACAAAACTATGGGCGAAAAATATATCATTGACCGCTCAGAAAAGTCAATGGGATTTTGTGTTTAGTCTTATCTGTATGATATTCTACAAGGCACAAGATGAATGCTACTGCTAGCAGAAGTGGATGGTGCTCTATTCATTTACAATGTCAAAACCGAAAGCACTCACCTTTTACAAATTTCTATGCAATCCATATCTCAGTGTTATCATGGACTGCTTACTGTACAATTCACCATTCGATATACAAACCTCCACATAAAATGATAGAAGACTGAAACTTACTCAGTAGACTAACTCAGTTCAGTTGCAATTGTTTCTGAAATTGTAAATCCTTTGTGTTCGCTGTAAGCTTTCAGCACATTCTCAGCAACATTGATGACTTTCTCAGTAGAATGTGAATCTTTTTCATTAATTTTTTCTCACCAAGCGAAGCTGCCAATTTTTATGAAAACAGATTTGTTGCAATATCATATTTTGTGCTGTATTCATTGTATATTGTGCGCGAATCGGCGGTGTACGTGTGTAGTGCATTGAACTTGTACTTCTAGTGTGGACTTGATGTATTACGTAAATTACGTCATACACTGTACCTCTGGATATAACGGCGTTATATTCAGAGGTATGACGTAATTTACATCATGTTGGAAAATATAACACTTCTCATCCTTGTAGCAATGGTCACGTGACAGCATTTGGCCAATAGGACATAAGTATCGATATAGGAAATTTAATATTACTTATATATTGCACACTTTATGAATATAAATCATTAGTATCATAATCATCACCTCTCCCTCTCTATCTCTCTCTCCAGGTCAACTTTGAGACCTGTTCTGCAGGTACTGCGCCTTCTTCAGCCTTTGGTCCTCAGATACCAGCTGCCCCTGCACCTGATGTAGGTGAGTAACTCTCTCCCTCCCTCCCTCCCTGCCTCCCTCCCCCTCTCACTCTCTCTCTCAGATCCCAGCAGCCCCTGCACCTGATGTAGGTGAGTAACTCTCACCCTGCCTCCCTCCCTATCTCCCCCTCTCACTCTCTCTCAGATCCCAGCTGCCCCTGCACCTGATTTAGGTGAGTAACTCTCTCCCTCCCTCCCTCCCTCCCTCCCCCTCTCACTCTCTCTCAGATCCCAGCAGCCCCTGCACCTGATGTAGGTGAGTAACTCTCTCCCTCCCTCCCTGCCTCCCTCCCTCCCCCCTGCCTCCCTCTCTCCCTCCCTGCCTCCCTCTCTCTCTCCCTCCCTCCCTCCCTCCCTCCCTCCCTCCCTCCCTTCCTCCCTCCCACTCTCACTCTCTCTCAGATCCCAGCTGCCCCTGCACCTGATGTATGTGAGTAACAGTATCTGTCTCACCATTACAATTGGATTTATTGTATTTCCAATTCTCGTGAAAAATACATTTAACAATACAATATAGGAAAATATATAAACAATACAAAGAATATGGAGGAGCCAGCAGAGGCCATTGGACTTTTAAAGGCAAGGCTCCAATGGCCGCAGATTATTAAACAAAGTAAAGATAAAAGAAAGAGTGGGTAGTACATAAACAAGTGTGTACCGGCTAATTAATCATAACTACCGGTAAGATAGAATTTCTTCATTAGATGACGTTTGTATTTTCGTTTTGATTTGATAAAATCTGATTTTCATTGGATCAGATCGATTAGTTGGGATGGGTTGGATGGGATTTCAGTTATGGTCTGTCACGTATAATATACGTAACAGTACAGAAAATGTCAGAATCTTAAGATTCCAAACACTAAAAGAGCTCTTTTCAAATTCTTAATTTGTGCTTTTGTGTAATGATGTATCAGATGTGAACAAACTCCTTGCCAAAAGGGACAAACGATGGCCGACCATTGAAGAGTGTGCAGGCTACAGGAAACTCAATCTCAAGGCTTTCTACAGCACATGGGTCTCCATTTCTGCTAAAGATATGAGGTAAATCATCATAAGCATTATCATCATCATCATCATCATTATCATCATCATCACTACCATTCCTATCATAACAATTCTCTCTACGCAATGCCAGGTCTTTTTTTACACCATTCCCTGTCAAACTTATGGCCATCTCTAGTTAACACAATTCTCTGTCAAACTTATGGCCATCTCTAGTTTACACAATTCCCTGTCAAACTTATGGCCATCTCTAGTTTACACAATTCGCTGTCAAACTTATGGCCATCTCTAGTTAACACAATTCTCTGTCAAACTTGTGGCCATCTCTAGTTTACACAATTCTCTGTCAAACTTATGGCCATCTCTAGTTAACACAATTCTCTGTCAAACTTGTGGCCATCTCTAGTTTAATTCTTCAATCTTCATTGCTGTAGTAAATCTATCTATCTTTCCTTTGGTTGTTCTCTCTTCCAGTCACTTTAAATTCTGATGATGAATCTATATATCCACTCGACCACGACACCGACAGATGAATCAATAAATTCATATTCAATTCTCTCCTCTATCTGCTTGGCTGCACAGATTGGATGAGTACATTGACTTCCGCACACAACTGACCCGTGAGGAGCTGAAGATACAACCTTATTGCAATCCAGACCTACCTACAAGCATGCATACGTTAGATCATATACCAGCCATGGCACAAAGAAGAGAACTAACCTATGAAGCAGAACAAGGACTTAAAGAGGTAAGTTGAAGATACAACCTTATTGCAATCCAGACCTACCTACAAGCATGCATACGTTAGATCATATATACCAGCCATGGCACAAAGGAGAGAACTAACCTATGAAGCGGAACAAGGACTTAAAGAGGTAAAAAATACTCATAAAATTATCATCTAGAACAGAAAATATGAAACCTATGTACATGTACATACACATCTCCATAAAGATCTTGCCCTCATATATCACTTGGTACTTGTACATGTACAGGTGTGTGTGTGTGTTATTGCATTGATTTTGGAGATACAACTTTACTGCAAATCAGACCTACCCACTACTGCCATGGCACAGAGAAAAGACCTAACTTATGAAGCGGAACAAGTTTGAGGAGGTAACGGTGGTAACAAAAGTTCATCTAGAATAAACAAGCGAGTAAATGGGTTCTTCACTTGCAAAGGTGGTGACTCTCCCATTTTACGGTACCTCCATTTAATGTCCTATCCGAGGGACGGAGTGTTTTTCACTGTCACATAGCCTGCATCTATGAAACAGGGGAGGGGCACGTTAACACACATCGCAGACTTCAGTCATCTGCCTGGGTGGGATTCGAACCCACGATCTATGGTGCGACAGGCAGACGCTTTACCGACTGAGCAAACTGGCTTCATTTCCATCTTTCTTTATCTTTCTTTCTCTCTGGATGATAATAATAATAATAATAATAAAAATAATAATAATAATAATAATAATATGTCATGTTTACCCACGGTAGCCTCATCAGTATACATACTGTTCTCCCTGAGGGCACCGCAATCATATCATTACCCTTAGCTTTAGCCGAGCTACCATGAAAATGTGCCCAAGCATTCAAGGAATTTTCTTCCTGCCAGGTACCCATTTACCTCACCTAGGTGGAGTATGGCAATGTAGATTAATGTCTTGCCAAAGGACATTAGTGCCGCCCCGGGACTCGAACCGGGAACCATGCCATCCACAGTCCGGTGACTTATCCACTAGACCACAACACCTCTACAAGGACATGAGATTGAACCATTCTTTCTCTCTTTCCTGCAGGTGATTCAAACTATCAATGGAGGTTTCATGGATCATGATGAGGTCGGCACAAGGGTCGCTAAACTCTTACAGAAGGTCAGTCCCAAGTGCAATTAGCTTTCATCTTTAAGTTTTTTTTTCCAGAAGTGGGGTTGAGTACTAGTCATGCAACCACATTGTGGACCCCCCCCCCCCTTTCTCCCCCATCTCTGAAAACAAAACAAAACAAAAAACCAAAATACCTAGAAGCAACTGAGAATTAATGATTTTGTAATACATCAGACTTTGTGTATACCAGTAGATTTGGAATTATCAAAATAAAAATTAGTTGACTCAAACTTGCTGCAAATATCATGCACTGCACACAGAAACAGGTATTCAGTTTGATTTGATTTGATTTATTTATTTCTGTTTGATTTTCCTTTTCTTTTGCAGTTTTACAAATATATAACAAACAAAACAGTTAGCAACTAAATTTGTCATACCCTTACCATGTTTTACAATGTGTTTAAGTATGTCAAAAATTGATTTGTCCTAATTTACGTTTTTTAAGAATGTGACATATTAAAGCTTACATCTAAAAGTTTTCAACAAAGTCCCCATGTCAACCAGTCCACTTTTCAACACAGAAGACATAAGGGGTATGAATAATTTAGATGTTAACTGTATGTGACAACACACATTTGGCATGGGAGTAGGCTATGATCAAGTCTTTTCATATTTCTAATGCGAGAGTGGTGAAATGCAATTATTTTCAGGCAAAATTTCTTTAATGGTATCCTTCCAAACTGACATACAAATAATGAGAAAAATAACACATCATGTTTCGTTCTTACCAAAACTTACCCTTCTCTTCAACTTTACACTTAATCAAAAATACGTGAAATTTGAAAGGGATTTCCAAAACTAAAAGCTATTTGTTTTTTATGCTTTTTCTTTCTCCTTCTGTCTCATGTAATAAAGGATCCTGAATCTTGGGTTGCAACTAATATGGCGGCCCTCTATTGGCGAATAGAAGGCAAGTCCCTTAATGCCTTGGACTGTCTCCGCCATGCCCTTCATTATGCTCCTGCAAATATGAAGGTAAAAAATATGTATTTTCTTCAGTTCTTTGTATTTTATTTTTAGATGGACTTTAGTCATAACTACAAATGCTCTTTTACAATGATAGACTTGCCAGTCAAAGTTACTTTAGCAATCACCTATGTAGCAGACCACCTGTTCATATAGACTGTTTTTATGATTAACGTTGAATATGTTTCTCATTAAACATGTCTTAAAGGAACCTTGTATAAAGACCACTTGCTCATAAAATTTCACTTACCCTCCCTTGAGTGGTTGTTATATACAGATTTCACTGTTATTACCAATGTGAGCATTGTGGTACATTTGAAAAGGCTCTTAACATAAATATACAGAGGCCCGTATTCTGAAGTCGTGTCTAACTCCTGTTTAACTAAACAGTTGTCTAAGTCTTGTCTAAGTCCCGTCTAACTTTAGACACGAAGTCGTGTCTAACTTTTTTGGTATTCTGAAGTCGTGTTTAAATAAAGTTAAACACGAAGTCCTGTCTAAGTCCTGTTTAACTTTAGACAACTGCGAGGGGTTGTTTAAGTCCTGTTTAAGGGCGCGATTCTGCTGCTTTTCAACGTCGACGGTACACTGTACTTGCTGACCCCGAACTTGCGGGGGAGAACGATGGTACGTGCATTCTCCAAAATTTCAAATACGTTTTGCAGGATTTTTTCTCGTGTAGCCTAATTTTTTTTCTCGATAATATTAACTATTCTTATCTACTGGTGACATCTTGGAAATTCCATAATCTATAATAAACTAACTATTCTGTTGGAGAAGTTTCTTTTGTGGTTCTTCCGAGCACTGAGGCACCAATAAGTAGTGTGTTTGTCAATCTCAGTGTACAGTACGTGTACTACGTACGTACGTACACAAAGTACATACAGTCTAGTCATTACGTCACGATCACATCACCATGGTACCAGCACGCGCACAGCTAGCTGTGCGCGTTAATTTATTTATCCGGTGCGCGCACGCATGCGCATAGGGTCTTTCGTCAGAATTAACGCCTACTGGGCATGCCCAGAAGTCGTGACTAAGAGTTAAACACGACTTGCGCAGAACTTAAACAGTTGTTTAGTTAAATACCACTTAGACAGGACTTAAACAGTTGTTTAGTTAGACGAGACTTAGACACGACTTCAGAATACGAAATTTAGTTAAACAGGACTTAGACACGACCTCGCGTCTAAGTCCTGTCTAAGTCCTGTCTAACTAAACAGTTGTTTAACTTTAGACGTGGCTAAGTTAGACACGACTTCAGAATACGGGCCAGAGTGTTTTAGTGCTCAGTGCCTCAAAAAAGTAAAAATGTTTGAGTGACAGGTTTTACCATACTCATTTTCCCCAATAGACTGTAGTGTTATGAAAACCGTTAGGAAAACAATTTTTTAAATTTTTATTTCCAATCATAAATATCTTGATAATCAGACATGCGATCGGCTTGTAAATTTCACGGGGTTCCTGACTGACCTAAAAGTTTATAATTATCATTGCAGCATGAGCTAAATCAAGGATTTTATTTCAGAATCTGAGACAAAGTTACCCAAATCCCTTTAAGTGTTTACATGACAACACTGGTGTAATAATATTTGTAAGGCCACAGGAAGAGCTGTACCGGTGTGCCATTGCTTGCTAGATAAAGAACAAATTATTGATATTATCTTTGCAGTATTATTATGAATGATGTTTTTTTTTTTTTTTGCTGTTATTAGTACTATCATTGTTATTATTAATATCATTGCTGTTGTTGTTATTATTATTATTATCATCATCATTGTTGTTGGTGTTGTTGCTATTATTGTTGTTGTTTACACCTACTGATATTACTCATTGTTTTATGTGTCAGGACCTAGCGTTGGTGAGCATTGCTAATATTTTCCACCGAGTTGGAATGTATGATGATGCTGCTACCATTGCTAAGATGGCCATCGAGATCACACCTCAGCTAGTCATCAACCATTTCACCTTGGCTAACGTCTACTCCTCAAAGGTAAGAATGGCTCATCGCACATTGGTTTCCAGGCTGTAATCTGCTCAGGGGAGTGTTTCACAAAGGCTAAGATCGACTTAAATTGGACTTGAACTATGGCAGGCCATTCATGCCACTGGTTGCTCTCACCATTGGCCTATCAATTAATATCTTTAGATTGTATTTTTTCCTTCAATTATGAACCATCAAAAAATATAAATTCTGTAGATTTATCACCATGATTTGTACGTCCCTTGAGAAACCAGTGTCAGGAATTGTTAGAGGAACTAGGCATGAACAGCCTGCCATAGTTAAGTCCAACTTAAAGTCGATCTTAGTCTTTGTGGAACACTCCCCTGAGCTTCTGGGATTTTCCTTCAAAGATATGGTTGAGTTGTAGGCTACACTTGTAATGTGAAAGAAACTGCGGAAGCGGCTGGAAAGGGTTGGATATTGTAGCACATAAGTATTAGTGTTTATTGTGAGGTTTTGGAATTGTCAAAATGATAAGAAATTGGCTCAGTATTGCTAAGAGTCAAGTGCACTGTACATAAACATGTGTATATGGGACTACACAAACATGATAGTTGTGGTCCACAACCTTTAGCTGCTACTAGTCATAGTTCGAATATGAGGGCATTCGTACATCAGGCATCATTCCACTACCTCACATTACACCAACTGATGTTCAAATCAACTAAATTGTCACACAAATGCACTCATTTGTGTGAATTGTAATGTCAGATTTCTGTTCTAAGTTGATTTTCAGTCAAATTCAAATCTTGCGCTTTGTTAGCACACCCTGCTTCAACATTGATGTTTGTTGCTGTTGTTGATTATTCTTCTTCTTCTCCTCCTTCTTCTCTTTTTTGTGACCTTCTGCTCTTTCTCCTCTTTCTCTTTCTCCTTCTCCTTTTCATTTCCTCCCTCCACTCTTTCTCCCTTTTTCTTCCTCATCCTCCTATTCCATCTTCCTTTTCTTCTACTTCTTTCTTATACTTTTACCCTCCCTCCTTCTCCTTGTTCTTGTTCTTCCTCTTCTTCCTCCTCTTCTTCTTGCTCTTCCTCTGCTACAGGGTCAATGGGACCATGCATTGGAGTACTACCAATCCACGCTCAGACTGCAGCCAGACTTTCAGCCTGCTGTGGAGAGGCTGAGAACCATAGAATGCAATGTCCTTCAGCTTACTGCCAATAAGAAGTAGCTTAGACAGACAGACAGACAGCCACCATCCTCCCCAGCCAGGCAGCACAATGATAATTATTTAATAATAGCTATGTTTATATTATATACGTATCCATGGTATCAGGGGGTGCTCAAGGAGGATACCAAGTAGTAATACTACCCTGGCTCTGACAAGCCCAGGGATATATAGGGCTATATAATCTATCATCTATTTAGCATAACCATAAAAACAAAGAAATAATAGTCCAAAAATCAGGCCTGATAATTTCTTGATTCCCACCGGCCCCCCCCCCCCCCCCCCCCCCATTTTTCCCCCTGATTTTTCCAGATTTTACCCTTATTTCCATAATTTCCCTATTTTCCCCCAATTTTCTAACTCGGAAGGATGGAAGTGTTAAATTGCTGATTATTTCAAGAGAAAATGGATATTTTGTAACTGTAACGGACGTGACCCATAGTGATTGTCTTTATAAAACTGTATGCTTCAAAGTATTTTAATCCTATTAGCATATCATTCAGATCAAAGGGCTTGTTGAGCTCTTTTGATTCATATCAAATTTGTCATGGTAGCCCAATAATTTCTGGAGATAACGCCAAATTTATGATTTTTAGTAAACACACATTGTCCATTGAATTGCCCATATGTCTATAAGAGGTTATTTCAACATTCACCACTTTCACTTTAATATGAACAATGTCCCTCATCAATATTGCTCTTCAGTTTGAACTTTGATAGCCTCTAAGATTGTGTCCATGAGGATTTTATTGCTAAATTATTCTTCATAAATTGATTTCATAAGATATATATATTTTTCCTCCTAGTTGTCATGATTTTATTTTGGGGTGATGAATGATAAGTGTAATTGAAAAAAGGGTCATTTTCAAAGCAATCAGGGCCCTCAGGGAGAACAGTATGAATACTGATGAGGCTACCCTGGGTAAACAAGACATATTATTATGTTTATTAATATTAATCACGTGTATTGATTTGGTACTGCCTAGCAATAAGACAAATACAGCAGTAGACCACTGTGATGGTAAACCACTGGGGTGAAATAAGCTGTGTGTGATTCACATTACTGCCTCTTGTACAGTGAAACCTGTCTAGAAAGACCACCCAAGGGAGACAAGAAAAGTGGTCCTTATAGGCAGGTGGTCTTTATGTACATGTTCCTTAAGTACATGTTTCAATGAGAAATCATTCTCAAGGGAAAAAAAAAAAGTGGTCTTTCTATACAGGTGGTCGCTAAAGCAGGTTACACTGTATCGATCAAATAAGTGAGTGTGTAAGTCCCTTGTTGTTTCTAGCATGGCACTAGCTTAACATCAAGGCATTAATCCACATTTGCCACTCTCTACCCAGGTGAAGATGGGTACCTGGCAAAGGCAGGGGTAAGAATAATTGCAGGACCATCAGGAAAGAAAAGCACCGATGCTGATGAGGCTTCCTCAAACTCCAATGATTATTATTTATATATATTCATGTATTACCATTTGTTTATATACGACTGACTCCAATCTAGTGCTTTTTGGCAATTGTGAAATGGAATGACGGAACCAGAACTGAAAAGTAGTTGTAGTGAGATAAATCTTAACATGAAACTAAATTGTATCTTGTTTTGTTATCTTTAATAATTATGTGTGTGATTATTGATTGATTGATTGATTGATTCAAATTTATTCCATTTTATATATCAATTGTTTGCACAATAAACAGCATAGTCGACAAAGTAAGTTGGAAATTAAAGTTTTAAGAAATCCACCTTATTAAAGATAACGTTAAGTGCTGATAATAAGGTCTTATTTTTACTGACATTCTTATATTTTGTAAGATTCAGGAATCATTGAAATGAAAACAAATTGTCTCAACCCTAAAGCCATACTGTACTAGAAGCAGTACCGCAAATTCCCCTCTAGCCGTATGGTCCCGTAACTCGCTGCTTCCCTAGCTGAGCTGTTGGTTCTCATCGAGTCCTCTCTGCGAAGTGTTAATTAGGCGTTGGGTTACGCACTGTTGGCAAGTTGACCATGAGATGGCGCTGTGCAATAAACAGTACGCTAGGGCAGAAAGTTTATATGTTCATTACTGCTTTAAAGTCCATAATTTGTTTATGTGTAAAAAAAAACCCTGTCTTAAAAATCGTTTAGTTATTTGTTAACTCAGTGAAAGCCTGCACCAGGGATTTGAACAAGCCTCAAAAACTTACCTCAAATTTTATCTTTAGCAGCAAGATGAGTTTATGAAAGTATGTGCAAAATGTCAGAACAAAAGACTCTCTATGAGTAAAAATTGAAGCCTTCATTTTCTACACAACAAATAGGGTGAATAAAACACTGCCAGTTGCAAAATTAAATTATATCATATCATGATAACCCTTCTCAGTGAATTGACAGACTTTCTTCTGAAATAAAGAATCACTATGGGTAATCCAGAACATGTTAAAGCCCCAATGCACTACTGATAGCTAGCTACTTGCGCCCTCTATATAGCAAACAATGCCTAATCAGTGTCCGCTGGTCACCCATGATCCCCTTTTTCTTATGTTAAGTGAGAGCTGATTTAATGAGACAACCACCTGTCAGTGACCACACTGGGTGGTCTAATCCTTCCTGGCCAAACTAGTGCAGAAGGGCTTTAAGAGCCAAATTTATCAGCTTATCTCCTGCAAATTTGCACAACTGTTATATTTTTTTGTTATTGCTAAGTACATTCTTGTGATATAAATCATGCATTTGAAAATAAGGACACTACGTCAAAAAAAATAATTTAATGCCAATTTGTAGAGGGAAAAATACCGGTATGTGTTTTTTTACTTTACAGTTTGGTGCCACTTTACATTTGAGTGTTTAGATTCCTGAAGTAAAGTCTGGCACCAACCATTTGATTACCATTCTGGTGTAATGCAACTACAGTCAAACCTGCTTTAGTGACCACCTGTCTACAAAGACCGAATTTTTTGTTACCCTTGAAAGTGGTTTCTCATGGAAATATTTACTAAAGGAACCTGTCTACAAAGACCACATTTTGTGTTTTCCTTGAGCGGTCACTATAGACAGGTTTGACTTTATACGTGCACAGTGTTTTGGAACATTGGTCTCTTTCTGCTCAAGCATTTTGTATATTTTTAGGGCTAGGATTCAAAGATTATTGATGTAAGCAAGCAATATGGGTAGGATGAATATCATCATAGCGGGTACTATATCAAGTATCCCTTTTTAATAGGGTACTACTGTATGGTCTAATGCATTTGGTGGTGGGTTATGATAATGGGATGTGCTATTATTTACTCAACACTAAATATTTACGCTTCGCAGTAGCTTCTTGCCTTGAAAATGGCTGACCGTCGTTATGATAATTCCCCCAAAGTTTCATGTTGCGAAAATGTCTGATTTTACAGAATAGACTTTGTTCTTCTTTTGTTTTATATCCTAGCTTTGTAGATTTTTTCCTAAAGTAGAGAGTAGAGTGTTCCCCCCAAAATGGACTAGCATACTTCCAATAATGTGGGGTCAAATTCACACGTACCAGTGAAAGGAGAATATTTTCACATGAAAAAATAAAACCAGGAATCTGGGCAAATTTGGTAGAGGTTTTTTTTAGGGAGCTCTTTGTGATGCAAGGTAGGAATTCAAATTTGTCCGGCATCAATGAAAGTGCATTTTAAGCAATTCTTAAGTATGTTGTGAAAAACACATGACAAAAGAAAATTTTCTGTGGAATGTTATACCTGTGCTCAATCTGACGTTTATTACAGCTTTCCCAAAAACCACCTACAAGTAGCTTTGCCAGTAGATGTCTTCCCTATCTGAAATTTGCTGTGCACTAATAGACGTACCGGTATGCTAGTCCGGGTGGGGGGGGGGCACCCTGTATAATTACTATTTGGTTGACGGGTTAGAACATTTCAAAGGGTGATTTCTCAAGTTCATGATTTTGCTCTGTGCAACAAGACTTGAAAAGGTCCATGCATAGCAGAATTCATTATTGGCTCAATGCATTCATTAGATCTACATGTACATGAATCATGTGTATGTATTTTTGTCACAAATCTGATTTACAATTTGAATGATATTACTGTTTATAATTCATGTTTTCTCGGAGATGTACTTATTTTTAATTCTAAAAGTATGTTATGATTTTGAATAAAATTCACTTTCCTATGTCTGAAATATATTCTTTCTTGTTTCAAAAATTGTCGTTGTTGAGTAGAGCATATTGTTGTAGTGTGATGGAAGAGCTGTGGCTTTCTTCGTATTCATATTTTTTCTTCAAAAGTTAATCTTCTAAAGGGAAAATAGACAGCTACTCTTAAAGAAAGCAGAAATATCAGTTTTGAATGGAAGCAGAAAAACAATGAGAAAGTTATGAATTTAGAAAGTTGTAATTGCTATACATATGTGCTCTGCAAAATGGCTGAATTGGTAATGTCACTCTAACATAGTGCCGGACAATTTTCCCCATTTGTTCCAACGGACATAATTACTCAAATGAATGACTTTTTGGAATATGCTATTCATCATATATTTTAAGTAAATTGTTCCCCAAAAGAGAAGGAACTATTTAGAAGAAAAACAGGAATAAGTGATATTGTTTTGCACAATAAATGTGAGAGTTGCCCATGACTTTTATACCTCACAATCCACTGACCAAATTACAATTTGAAATTCAATCATTCACATATACAGTTTATAGTAATCTCACATTTCAAATATTGACGACTCCCTTTCTATTGATTTGATTTATGTCAAACCAGGCGCGTACGCTGGATTTTTCAAAGGGGGGGGGGGGGGGGTTAGGAGGACAAAAAAAATTACCAAAGGGGGGGGGGGGGGTTTACTCCAAAATACACACATAAAAAATGCCAAAGGGGGGGTTTAACCCCCAACCCCCCCCCCCCCCCCTGCGTATGCGCCTGTGTCAAACTATTGCCATTCCGTCTCTCTTGTCCTTCTGTTTTCATACATAGTGAAGTTATTATGAAGGTTAGATTGTCCTTTGATTCTTTCAAGACAAGTGCCCTTGTTCTCCGGATGCAATATCTTTTCATTCAGAGCAGCCCTGAAAATATGCACAAAGCAGGATCTAGGTCCATACGGTTTACAGGAATTTTAAAAGCTATAGTTATGATAAAAGTTTGTTGGGTTCATAATTCTGTGCTAACACTATGTTTAAGGAGATTGTGAATCAAGGGCAATTAAGTACAATGATAGAGAGAGAGAGGGGGAGAGAGAGAGAGTGAGAACCAAAAAGAAAGACTGACAGGGGGTGGGCACTGACAAATAGTTTAGTCATTGTCAAATGAGCGAACTATTGGAAATTTAATATTATTTTGGTCTGATGTTATGGAAAATAAATTAGAAATGGAAAAGTAAATATTCTCTCAAATGAATTAGATTATTATTATCATTATTATTATTATGAGGATTTTATATGCAAAATTTAATGTTTTATCTTCGCTCAGTAGACAAACATACATCTAGTCAATATTCTGTCTGTTTTTACATTTTGTTCTACTTCAATCATCATCTTTCCTCACCCTTACGCCCCACAAAGAGTACGAAGTCTCCGTTTTTTAAGGTGTGTTATTTTCTCGGCTTGTGAGGTGGGGGGGGGGGGGGGGCGACACAGGAACAGTCTAGGCAGTGGACTGACATGGATCATGGTAATTGGAAGTTGGAAGTGAGTAAAAGGAGAGAAAGAGAGAGAGGGGGAGGGGCATATTTAGACATTTCTGTGAATATATAAATTACCAATGTGTACACAATAGGCCGAGTACACAATTGTGTTGATGTGCTCCGCTCCCCGCAAAATTTTGGAGTAAAAATGCACAGGAAGATAAGTGTTAGGAGGGTGGGGGGGGGGGGGGGGGGAGGAGAAGGATGATTATGATATACCGTACCCTTCTATTTTCGGATATAAAAGATATTATGATGGGAGATTTGTAGTATACTGAACGATAGTTTGTCTTGTATCATCAGGTATCTCGTTTCATGAGTTCGTCTACGGCAAGGGATCGGCTGACACGGTTTGCCCCTGCCACGCCCCTGCCACACCTCTGTCTTCGACCTTAAAATTATCTTCTTCTTTTTTTTCTTCGTAGCAGCCGACACAGATACACAGTGGAGTAAATGGTAATATGCAAACGAACCCACATGTAAAGCACCAATCATCGTCTCGTAAACCATTGCCATACTCGGGTCATGTCAGGGTCACGTCGGAGTCCTATTCTGAAGAAAAAAACTCACTCACAGCGAAATAATTTCAATTTCTTCGGAAATATCTCCAAGACGCCATATTTTCGAGGAGCCCGACTTGGTAGAACATAAGATATGTCACCGGCACCACTTCTAGAAGGTTTTCTAGCCATGGAGGTGCTTTCGCAGCCCCAACTCAAGCGCTTGAAAGAGCACAAATACAGCGCAGAAGGGAAGTCGATCACTGAGCCCGTCATGCAGGTGTTCTGGTGCTGGCTTGTGGAGCAAGTCCCCCGGACGGTCGCCCCGAACACCATCACACTGGTTGGCTTAGCTGCAAACATTATCTCGACTTTGATACTTGCTTTCTATTGTCCTACTGCAACAGAAATGGTATGTTATGCAAATAGTACTCAGGTCTAGTCTACCTGCTTTTGTCTTGCTCTTTAAAAATAGATATAGATCTAGATCTAACAGTTAGACCTCTAGCCTAGGCTCTAGGACCATTATAAAATGCATAATTTGTTGATAGATTTTCTAGGCTAATTCATCAGGTGTTCATAGAAGGCCAGATGTTGTGACTTGTGCATTGTGAAGTTGTGTGTCCTGACAATTGTGTATCCCGACCCCGGCTCCCCTACTCAGCGGTCGGAATGACCGCATGCGTGTTGCCAAAATGTCTGGTAAAGGTAGGGAGGCCAATACACCTACGATTTGTGCGCTCGTCGCCCACTTCAAAAAATTAGCAAAGGGAAAAAAATGATGTAAAAATAAAAATTGAAGAAAATATGAAAAGAAAATACAATTATACATTTCACAACATACCTATAATCACGGATCTGTAACAGTCTTTCACCATTTGTTGACAATCTTGCAGATTTTGACGTTTTTTAATCCAATAATTGTGGTTGCAGACGACCTTGACGCACTCGCACCACCGACTAAGAAAATCCTAGAGGGCGTAGAGGTTTGCTCACTAAAAACCTTCTCATTGGCAGAAGGTAGACCCTAAAAATATGGGATCCGTTTTGAGTAAAGAACTTTTGATAGAGATCAACATTTCAGATGTTCACAATTGCCACTTCTAACAACTAGAAAATATAAAGAAAAAAGATTCTATCTTTTTAAATACAGATTTTTACAAACTAAACATTCGAAAGTAGATAGAGTACGATGTTTCTGTCAATCTTGCGTTGGTTTGAGCCCTATAGCTACATCCATCTCAAAATGAGAAGGAAAACAGTGAACAGTGACGTCATTGTTCGCGCCAAAAATAAAGGGTATTGCGACATAATCTGAGCTCCGGTCAGATCGTGCGCAAAGCGTAGTCTTATTTATAGACCCTAGTACCTTATTCTCACAGCACTAGATACGAGTGTCGTGCAGTAATGTATGAGAAGTGTTAAAAAAGATATTTCAGTAAAAAAAAAAGTCTACGTGAGCAGTCTATACTCCAATTGAGAATTGAAATGAAAGCCATGATTTGAAGGTGTGTGTTGTATGATACATGGTTAGTGAGTGTGTATGTTACGTATAGCGAAAGGGAGAGAGAGAGAGAGAGTGAGAGAAATACGTACGTTGCATGCATGGATGTGCGCTATGATTCTGTTCGCTGCAAGATGGATGTTAATTGGACCTCGTAACTTCTCGATCGTTGATAATAAGGAATACTCATGAGGAAATCAAATTATTGGAATACACATCTAAGGTAAATATCAATGAATTATATATATTTCTTTTTTGCCAATTTTGATATCTATTCGTCATTTTTGAACCATCGTCTTCGGCTCGTAGTAGTAGAAGATGTAATCGTTCGCACATTGATGGCTGGACTTCAGCCTGCATCGGGGCTTGCCTGTGTCGGTGGAGGGATCAACTAAGAAGAAGAAGGTGTGTACGTGTGCGACCGATTCAAGGCTAGCCGCTGTTGAGTGATTGCACTTTCGCGCGAAGTTTTAAACTTCATCATGAACTTTGTCCCTCGGGCCTGTCTAATTATGAACGTAACTTTGCGACATGAAATATAATTGTTTCAAGGCTCTTACGTACGGAAAGGCGTAGAAGGAAATGGCTACAAACCAGCTGGATATCTCCTATTTGATGGAACCTATGGAGTCGGCAGATGGGTGGATTTTCTTAGTGAAAGTAAATGCTTTCTTTTAATCTTAGTTTTAGTATAAACAAATTAGTAATTAAAAAGTTAGATTTGGGCATTGGCCTCCCTAGTAAAGGGGTACTTTTCGTGCGACAAAGTCCGGCCCGAGAATTGTAAGAAAAGGGGTGTAGATCTATTTGACTTTTCACCCGGAAATTTCTTTAAAAAGGGGTGTTTTTCTTTTTTTTTCTCATCTCTTTGGACTCCTGAGAAATTATTCCGAATTTAGGGGGGTACATTGAGCATTTTTCCTGATTTAGGGGGGTCTCCACTTGAGGCAAGAAAAGCCCGCGAAAGGGGGGTTCGGAAATGTTGGCAGTCCTCAGATAGGGGGTGCTTTCAAAAAGAGGGTACGAGCATATGCCTACCCTAAATAACACTGAGTGGGGGATCCCGACAGTTGTAAAATTTAATAAAACAGCAATTTGAAGAAGTTTACAAGTTCTTCTTCTTCTTCCGGTTAAGTACAGATTGCCATGGGCGTATTCGTACTTGTGCTTTTCGAGTGCCTGTGCTTATGAAGTTCAGTTCATAATCTTAATCTAGGACTACAGGTAGATCTAGACCTAATTAATCTAATTGTTAGACAATATGAGACAATTTTCATGATGGTGTCATGTTATTGCTATTTGATGAATGAATATTTTTCTGTTAAATTTGAAAGGCAAAAAAGTAGATTTCTAGAAGTCCATTCTGTCCAAAAGGCAAAGTACATGTAGGTCTAGACTAGATCTACATCTAAGGTGGTACTGGACAGGACCAATTGGTACATACGTCCAGATCTACTATAGACTAGATTTCTAGAAGTCCATTCTAGACAAAAAAAAATCAATACACCCTTTCACGGTTACAATAGTGCGCACGCCCCAACATGGGCACCATTTAAATTACGGGTAAACAAGTGGTTTACTCGTAATACCAAATGGCGCCTACCGTAATACTATGTCAATAATGATGTGAGCCCGCAGCGCAGGCAGTGACGCAACAGTACATGCACATCTGAAAACATTGATGATGCCATGTTTACTCGCAAATTAAAATGGCGGCCTTAACCGTGAAGGGGTGTAGACTATTTGATAAATATTGCCTAGATTTTTTTTTGATTTTTTTTTTTTTTGGGGGGGGGGGGTTGTATCTTTCGATAGGAATAATGGTGAGTCTTGAAATTTGAAATGTGTTCTTCTGTGCAATTGATTTTTTTTCAATTATCCAACCATTAAAGGGCCACTCTAACCCAACTAAAGCCTTTTAAAACATGAATACACCTCAACTTATTAATATTCCAGCCTCTGATTTTTTAGAAAATCTCTAAATTGACCAAAAAATGACGATAACCATCCATTTTTCACAGATCTCACGCTTGCTAGGCTACGCCCCTCCAAAAGGCAATCGGTCACGTGGCTCTATGACGCCTTGCAGGCATTTCCAATTTGTCCTACAACTACATGTACGAATCTTACAATCTCATTGTAATTCATAAATGAAATGTACTGGGATTATCAATTGCATAATATTTTTCGGATAAATGTCTTTTTCTCCTTCAATTAATATCATAGTTTGCCCTTTTAAAGACATTTTAATGCCTAAATCACCCTCCTTTTCACCCGAGAGGCTCCTGCAGTGACGTCATAAACAGTTGCGCAATACAGCTCCGAAACTGGGCTTTTTTCTGAGCGTTCTGAGTCGTCATTTTTTAAAGCTAGAATACACAATTATTGATGATTTCTAAGAAAAATCATTGTCATGTTCGGAATCTCCATCAAAAATTATTCTACATGTCTGTTTAAAATATTTTTTAGCCCGTTTTGGTTAGATAAACAAACCAAAAGGGAAAATTGCAAAATCGTTCAGACACCCTAATCATAAAGGCTAGGTGATGATTATACAGAAATAACTGTCTTTGAATAGAATAAACTTCTATTAAAAGTGACATTTGTCAACCATCCCCTTGTACAGATGGTTACCCTTGCCACACGCAAAAGGGAGATACTGTAGGGTCATAATTAACTAGCCGATTTTCGTGGGAATCGGGCAAAATAGTTTTCCCCTCAGATTTTCTTTATCTAGATGTACAACTACATGTTGTAATAGTTTGATTTGGAAAAAATGATGATTGGAAAGAAAATGTAGATGTAAAAAAACCTGAAATGCGTTAGTAATCACCCCTTGCCAGCTACCACACCCTTAGAACAGCTAGTAGACTTATCTTTCTTCTGTCATACAAAGCACTTTAAATTGGTAAAGAATTTAACAAAATGTATGAGATTTTGATACCGAAGACCGAAGTGATAGTAATTTGCTTAACTTCCACATGTTCTAATTTCCTGATGATAATTAGTTAATGTAAGTTGCGATTTATGTTACAAAAACGCTGACCTTTTATGAGAGTTTGTGATGTAGGTTCCGGCTGCAGTGCCAAGACACGTAGTTTACACGAGAAGAAGAAAAAAACTGTTTTGATTTGCCAATTTGATACTTTGCGATAGTAGCGATTAGTGTAAAAGGTTGCATAGGCAGGGAGTTCACTAAATTCAGTGAACAGTGAGTTCAGTATACTATTGGCAAGCGGCAACAGTTATCATACTTCAACTCCTTAGTTTGAAAAGAAAAAAAATTGTTTATTAAGTGAAAGGAATTGCAAAATTTAACCATCTTTTTCTTTCAACTTGTACACACAAAAAATGATTTTTATGTTTTACCCCACCAGAAGCTTCAATGGTAGTTACAATTAAAATGCTCTTATTCGAGAACAGTACAACCTACTGCATTGGAAGTAGACTCAAATTTGTATGTGATGTTGCTCTTTGTGCTCATGTATAGTGTGTGATTCCTGGCACTCTAGATCAAAAGATAACACAAAAACATTACTAAAAAGAGACACAGTAGTGACTGTACTGCAATGAGTTAACTTAATTAGCTAACACTAATTGAATGTTTCTTGACTTTCTCTACAGGCTCCCCCATGGGCCTATGTATTTGCAGCTCTATGTCTGTTTGCATACCAGTCATTAGATGCTATAGATGGAAAGCAGGCTAGGCGTACAAACTCTAGTACTCAACTAGGAGAACTCTTTGACCATGGCTGTGATGCAGTATCAATTGGTAAATACAGGTATCTTATCTTAACAGTATCGTATCTTAACAGTATCTTAGCTTAGCAAAGCCCTTTGGCAGAGATATGTGCCAAACCATGTAAATCTATATTGCAAACCGATGGAACGAGTTAATACCTTTATTCTGCATTATTTCTGCATTATTTCTGCATGTAACAAAGGTCCCTTTACAGATTTTATTGTCACAGTATATGCATTTGAAGCCACTACTTGTACATACTGTACATGTGTATGTGTAGCTCGTTCAATTGTGTTTTGCACAGCATTCTTTCTGTGGTCTAAAATATAACATCATATGTACAATGAACATGTACATACTGCTTGAGTGCGTGCAGAAATTCATTGTTTTTCTGTCACATACATTTTAGCAAGTTAAAAGCCTAACCAAAAATGCGTTATACAGACCTAGCTCCTCAATGCGCTGATACTCCTTGTCCTGAAAAAAAGAAGATGTTGGCAGCGTTCCTTGTGCCATTTTGACATAACCCAACGATTGTATCGTTGTAAGGCCTGTTTCTTGAAACTCTGATCATCATAAGTCTAACTCGGACATCCCATAGAATGATAGAAGCATGATATAAAATGTATGCTGTTCAGCAAAATTAAACTTGCCCGTACATGTACCTACATTTAACGACAATGTTATTTATACCTTTACACAGTTTTGAAAGTTTCATAGTATGTGAACAAATCGGTTTGTCCCAATTTTTGTTTCTTGAGAATGTGACATGTGAATATTAGATAAAGGCCTTAATTCCACCAGTCCACCTTTCACTCGTGAGTTATGAAAAACAGTTACAGTTACAAACAAATGTACAAGGAGCCCGCCCCCCCCCCCCCCCCAGTCAGTGTTATTTAGGGTACACATATGCTCGTTCCCTCTTTTTGAAAGCACCCCCTATCTGAGGACTGCCAACATTTCCAAACCCCCCTTTCGCGGGCTTTTTGCGGGCTTTTTGCAGGCTTTTTGCAGGCTTTTTGCAGGCTTTTCCTGCCTTGGAGACCCCCCTAAACTCGGAAAAATGCTCAATGTACCCCCCCTTAATTCGGAATAATTTCTCACGAGTCCAAAGAGATGAGAGAAAAAAAGAAAAAAACACCCCCTTTTGAAAGAAATCTCTTGGTGAAAAGTCAAATACACCCCGTGTTTTACAATTCTCGGGCCGGACTTTGTCGCACGAAAAGTACCCCTTTACCGGACATTTTGGCAACACGCATGCAGTCATTCCGACCCCGGAGTGAGGGGGGGGGGGCCGGGACAAGGAGGTATGAATAATTTAGTTACGAGGGTTTCATGAAACTGGCCACAGGGTGACCACTTTTTATTGTTGTTGTGACACAATGTAATTAATCGTTATCTCTTTCGTTATCTAAGAAGTCTAATCTTAGTCATTGTTTTGTTTGGTTGTTGCAGTCTTTGTGAGTGTTGGAGTATGTACTGCAATGCAGCTAGGAACACACCCATGGCTTACATTCATGACCACGTGCACATCAATGTTCATCTACTTCACAGCTCATTGGCAGACATACGTCTGTGGTACACTCAAGTTTGGAAAGTAAGATCATTTATTTGAATAATTCATCCCTTTATTCATTCATTTATGTATATATACATGTAGATGAAGTTGAGTTGTGTTGTGATTACAGTGCACATTGTGAAAGAAACTACCCGGAAGTAATTGAAAGAGATCAGATATGTAGCATATAGTATTGGTGGATACTTGGGAGGTTTTAAAATCATCAAAATGGTAATAAAGTGACTCGTTCAACAATTTGACATACAGAATTGTAGCTCGCGGGATCCTCTCCAATTTGTTCTGTTTATACAATTTCATAAACATTCATTTTCTTCATTATTGATAATGGATTTAATTTTTTTCCCATACAGGGGTATATAAAAACATATTTGCAATAATTATATTTAGGGTGCATTGTATGGTTGAATATTTTATTGAGGAAAAATATGGGTTTCTGATTGTATTTTTAGTACAGAGCAATGGGAAGGGAGCTTGCAACGTCACAGAGTTGCCAATTTATGTTGGACTGATTGCACCTTCAAATATTCTTATTCTTAATCAGAATTTGCTCGAACTTTCACTGACCTGTTTTTTTCATTTTTCTGCATCTATTTAAAAAAAAGTTAATATCAGGGTGGACTTCCCTTTAAAGCCCATCTGTACTAGTTTACAGGAGGGATTAGATCACCCTGCAAGGTTACTGACAGGTGGTTATCTCGTCAAATCAGCTCTCAATTAACATAAGTAAAAGAGGACCATGGGGACCAATGGTCACCGATTAGGGATTGCTTGTTATGTAGAGGGCGCAAGTAGCTATAAGTCGTGCAGTGGGGCTTTAACCTATTATTGGGTTATTTTCACAGATTTGATGTAACAGAAGGACAGCTAACGTTCTGCTTTATCTATCTTGTAGCAGCATTTCTGGGAGAAGATACCTGGATGGCAAAGGTATAGTAGAATATTTTGTTCACATTTGCTGTAAATTTCTGTTTTTTTATATCAAATTATATTCAATTATTTTACAAGTATTTGTTAATGTGTGTTTGTTTGATTTTTGATTTTTTTTGCAATTTATAGAAGAAACAGCTAAATATTTCATTTTATTTTGTAAAATTTCTGTATTTTTAAATCAAATTATATATATATATTTTTTTTTTTTAACTACATTTGTTTTTGTGTGCGTTTTTTTTTTTTTTTAAATAGTTTATAGAAGAAACAGCTAAAGATTTCATTTTATCAACGAAAACAGACAAAGTCTGGTTTTTGGTCTTGAAAGCCGAAATGAGACAAAACATGTATCAGTATTAAAAGCTAGAACAAGTGCGCAGGAGATTAACAGGCTGTAATTGACTTCAGGAAAGAAGACGTAAAGCCAGCCATTGAATGTCAACAGGCTGTAGCAATGCTACTTAGCTAGAATAACCTAAGAGTCCTCCCCAGCTCTTTTCTGATTTCGGCTTTCTATTCATTCTTGCGATTTACTCCTATGAGGGCAAGACCCAAAAGGCTTTAGTTTGCCTGTTTTGCACTACTTTTAGATTTTGCAGCACCAATTAATTTTATGCAAAACATATACTTTTGTTTGAAATTTTTTAGGAGGGCAACTACAATTTTCAATATATATAAACATGAAAATGGAGTGAACATTCAAATGTAAATAAACATGAACATGTGTCATGTATACATGTACAAGCTTATTTAAATAAGCCTGTACATGATGTACTCATGTTTCTAGGGGTACCTGTCTAAATTCCAACAAGAGGCATTGTGTGCATTAGTGTGGATTGGTGGTCCAGGGTAGAAAATCATTTATTTCCATTTTCATCTTGATAATCCTGAATTAACGGTATAGTGTATTTGAAAAAGTCCCTGAATCCTGCTAATATATATATATATTTATATATATATATATATATATATATATATATATATATATATACCGGTATATATATATATATATATATTTTTTTTTTTTTTTTTTTTTTTACTGCAGCAGTAAATTTGCAGCACACTCTTTAAAGTTTGGGCCCTTGAGTATAAAGCATGTATCCCATCAAGTTGAAAAACTGGATTATTATTATTCTTGTTGTTAATTTGATTGTTTATTTCAGGTACCAGTAGTTGATATGGAGGTGAAGACTGTAGCTACTGTGTCTGGTCTCATGTTATCTTACCTCAGCATCTATAGCCATGGAAGGGTCATCTTTGGAGGGGGCAAAGGTCGGAATGGATCCACAGTCGCAGTAAGCTATTATTATTACTGATTTGGTGGTGCCTGGGCTTGGGAGGGAAAAGCAAAATTAATCAATGATTACGAGCTGATTGGGATGTGCAAGTGTACCACTACACAATTGCCCCTATATTTGTACGAAGAGTGCAGTAGATTGGTAACCTGTAAAGGTGTTGACTCTCCTCCACAGAGGACTTTCTTTTAACATCCTATGCAAGGGATGGATTGTTTTCTGCTGTAACTTGACCTGCATCTATGAAGTAGGGGTAGGGGTACATAAACACACAACCAGAGGCTTCAGTAATCTGTCTGGGTTGGATGAAAGTTGGATATCATAGGGAATTTGACACCGTTTTCCCAGTAACGGGTGTCAATCATCAGCTTCTACTATTTCAAGTAAACCTCTGTAAATACCTATATTTATGTAGTGCTCCTTACAATCTGTTTACTATAGGAAATCTTGTACTATTTGTGCTCTGAACCACTGCCAGTGTTAAAGGGTTTCAACCTTGTTAAATGCTAGAATAAAGCATTCAGATTTTAATTCCACTTTTGAACATAATAATCACTCAATTACCTCTGTGAAGTAACTAAAGTGCCCCAATTAATTTTTAATTTTTACATATGTTATGATATCATTTGTTATAAATACAGAGACTTATGTATTGCATTTTTTTTTTTTTTTTGTATTTGTGCTTACAGGACACCAGTGTTATTGCTCCTTTGTTCCATATCAGTGCTGTCATTCTTCTGTTCTTCACAATCTGGCAAAAGTCAAAGACTGGCATCTTTGAAAGGCAGCCTTGTGTTTATATCATCATGTTCGGCATGCTGGCTTCTAAAATCTCAATTAAATTAGTGGTATGTATTAGCTTATACTCCAGCTTCAAGTATCTGTGTTTCCTTTTCTTCGATAGATGAGGAGGAGCTCCTTTCCAGTTTTAAAAATAAATATGCCCTGAGGCTGAAGAAGAAAAGATGTGTCGATTTGAGGGTAACACTTTGTTGTAACAGCAAATGAACAATATTATCAGCTTGAATGCAATACACTTTAATATGACCAGAGTATCAACCTCGCAACTTGTGAGTCATAATGAATTTGGCTTTAAAGCGCTTAATATGGAATAGGCTCTCTATTAAAGCGCTTTACAGATATTATTACTACCCTGGTCATCTGATTCATTCACGCAAACAGTGCGCCCCATTTTCACCCCCCTGGGGAGTATTTCTACCATATGGTCAGCCTGATGGAATATGGTTATTACTATCACAAAGGCAAGGTACAATGGGTACCAGTTAGGAAGAAATTGCATTAAGTGTCACAGCATCTTATCAGCAGAGATACTATCAGTATGCGTTTAGAAACATGCATATAAGAAGTCAGTGCATAGACTTGTCAATGGGGACTTTGAGATTTACACGACGAGAACGTGGACCGCCACGTGTGACATCCTTTTAAGGTACTGTGACGTCGTTTTAAAGCACTGCCGGGCCCGGCCCAGTGCCTTAACACAATGTCACACGCGGCAGTCCACACTCTCGTCATGTAAATCTAAAAGTCCCTAATGTAACCATGTGCACTACTGTTGTTTTGCTGTCAATTTTGTCACTGTCATCATGTTTATGTTAATAATAGAGGTGTCATAGTCGAGGGGTTTATCACTTGACTTAAAATACAAAAGTCTTGCGTTTGAGCCCCGGCATGGAACTGATGTCCTTGAGAAAGGCATTTTATCTACATTGCTCCTCTCCCTCCAGGTGTTAATGGGCACCCCCCCCCCCCCACCCCCTCCCGATAGGATGCAAGCGTCTTGGTTAGAGTAGCATGACCGCACTCGATAAACGGATATTAACTGGAATACTCCCCAGGGAGTGGAGAATGTGCATACATTATGTGCAGGCAAGCCTGAATCCATTGACCAAGGAGTGCTTGGAGACATCGCCAACAAACCCTGAATATTACTAATATTCCTCTGTATTTGATATGATAATTGAGTTCCTGTCTTACAACCCAGGTTGCACACATGACAAAAAGTGGGATGAATTTCTTGGATACAGCCTTCATAGGCCCTGGTCTACTCTTCCTGAACCAGTACCTGGACACCTTGCTCTCAGAAGACGTTGTCTTATGGCTCGCACTGGTGAGTATCTCTAGTTGGACCATCCCTGGGGGGTGTATCTCAAAGACTAAGATCGACTTTAAGTTGAACTTAAATATGGCAGGCCATTCATGCCACTGGTTGCTATCACCATTGGTCTCTCAATTATGATCTTTAGATATTATTTTTGCCTTCAATAATTAACTAACAAATCAGGTCAATTCTGTAGATTTGTAACCACAATTTGTATGTCCCTTGAGAAAAAAATGCCAGGAATGGTTAGAGGAGCTGGTGGCATCAAAGGCCTGCCATAGTTAAGTTCAACTTAAAGTCGATCTTAGTCTTTGTGAAAAACTCCCCTGGTTCCCCAATTTTTGTAGGAGCCCTGTACGTGTTCTGAAGCAAAAGTCAACTATCCTGAATGCCAACAGAACGCACCACCCGTCAACTGAAAAGGAAAAATAATCAGAATTATTCACAGACCTGAAGAACCTGCTCTCCTTTCATACCCCAAAAATGAAAATGCAAATTTAGATTTAATTTATTTAGAGATTCAGTTAAGTCTTTATTCATTCTTTTTTAATACTTCCGCCCACCGAAGGTAATGCCAGAGGCATCATGTTTTCAGGGGGTCCATCTGTCCGTTCCGCTTTCTTGTTTGCGCGATATCTCAAGAACCACTCGAGATATGAGGCTCAAACTTGATGATAGTATGCAGGGAAAAAATTAAGATTTTTCTTCCATTTCCTCTCTTTTCAGGCTTGGTGCACCTGTGACCTGATCCGCTTCTGTGTCGCCCTCTGTTGTCAGATCTCCCAACATCTTGGTATATACACGTTTGACATTACAAGCAAGCCTAATCCAGCAGAGCAGAGGTCGGGGGTCACGACGAGACGCCAAGCCAAGTTAGCTGCTCAATGAGATGATGACAATATATCCTTGTACATATCAACACAATTCCATTGGCCATCAAATTGTGTACTCTTTCTTTAAATAGCTTTATACTAACTTGTATTGTTTTCAATGTTTTACCGCTTTGATTGTAAGAATTGTATTCTTAGAGCATCCTTATCTTACCTCAGAATAACTTGCCATAAAGAGAAAGATGAATGAATGATGAATACAAATATAAGTATTGATTACTTTTAAAATGAATGATATAAAGAAATAATTATGATAAACGCGAGGAAATTGTTACTTTCTCTCAATTGAATGAAAGAAAAATGATAGAGGAAGATGGGGAAGAAAGCAAGAGGAGGAAAGGAGATGATAGAAGATACTAGGACCCCCTTACAATTCTGAATTGATAAAACATCTTTCTAATTAGAACGGTAACCCCACCCCAAACACTAATGCCCCCTTAATGATTGGACCCATGCTACGCTGTTGATCTATCATGTACATGTATCAAGATTATTACTTTGAATTGAAGTTTTCTTTATACATATTTACATGCAAACAAATTTGCGTGTTAGAATTCTTTGCTGTTTCAATCTTGATTGATGAAAGTTCCGTGTTGCAAAAGTATTGAATCGTATATTAGTATCATGTAATTTCATGAAAATTTCTGATTGTAAAGCGATAGACTAGTTCGGAGCTGGCTTTGGTACAAGGGACTGTTAAATATCCACAGATCTTTTACACATAGAGAAGTCCTTTTTGTGCATTATAGAATAATCACTGCCAAAGTGATGGAGGTGCTTCATCAATACCTTTTGTTTGCCCTCTTGAGAAGAATACTTCCATCTGTGTTCCATAGTCTGTACTGTTGTTGCATATACTGGTATAAATAATGAGCGTGCATCCAGTATTCGTCTTGGTGGTTTGGTTCAAATGTTCATGCACAGATTATATCTACGCACTGATCTATTGATAAGAATCTTATATAATCATGGCAGTCACCCTGATTCCGAAGTAGAATCCTAGTTAACCTTTAAGATTATTTGGAAAGATTTGTGTGTACTAGGTTATCATGACAATTTTCCTTTGAAAAGGCCAGCCTTGAAGTGTACCAATCACCTTAAAAAGTTATTTATGCATGAAGCAATTCCTCATATTCTGAGACATAAACAATTGTAAAATCAATATTTCTTCAGTTATGCCCAATATGGGTGAAATTTTGATGATATCATTATTTATATAAGGAGTGGAGATGGTGCACATTGTGCGTGAATGAATCCGATGACCAGGGTAATAATATTTGTAAAGCGCTTACCATATTAAGCGCTATATAAATCCAAATTAGTATGTCTAGATAGAATAGTGGAATCATTTTCTACAATTGATTGCCAAATTTCAAGATTTGTGGGCTTGTTCAGTCTGAACTGGAAATAAATATGTACCAGAAATTAACAAACCAACATTATTGCAAAAATAGGCGTGCATTCTACATGTACATATACATGACTTGTATATCTTTCTCTTAGAATGTGACTGTGCAGCAGCGTGTCTGTGGGCTTGTGTGATATATTGCTTTGCTTAGGTGGACATTGTGACTTGTATGTTGACTTGTATGTTCTTTTCAAGATATTTTATAGTCAGGTTTGTTTCTTGCATGTATTTTTTTAATAACCTTGTTCTTGTTCATACTTGTTTATCTGTATTTACTTGCGTCAACTGTCAGTCTTGGATTCACACAAACCCAAATTCACCACCAAACATGCACAGTATTACAGTGCAAAGTGGACATGTACAGGGTATGTAGGCTGGTGGATTTGAAAATTATTACTGGTAAATGTATTTTATACCGGTATTCAATGAAAAGTAGTGTGTTGATCTAACAAATTTCCTAGCTACACTGTAGTTTGGGAAAAATTTCACATTCTTCACCAATTAATTCATCAATCAATTGTTCACATGTTAGCTAGCTTTCATCACATTTGCGAAGGAATCCAATTTTCCTCTTTCTTTTTGCTGTGGATATATATGTGTGTAACATTGATATAATATGACTATTGAAATGGTAGAAGACACGGGTAATGTGGAGTTATGCCTATATGCTGCATGTGTGTTTTAGTTTATGTTGTAGGGCTCTGGATATAATTTCAATCATATACCGGTAACCATTGGGTCTTTGTGTTCTATGTATAATATCAGACTACAAGAATCAAATGAGGGAATTACATAGATATGGTACATACATGAACAGTTAACTCTTGGTAGGTTGAATCTGTTGGGATTCAAAAATGGTTCAACGTACATGTATGCAGACTTTATGTAAATAACATGTTTTGCAAAGTTGGTCCCCCAAAAGTTGATTTGACTTGGGTAAATTTAGATTTGAGTGACTTTGTTTTATGCAGGGTTAACTGTATCCAGGTTAAATTTACTTCCTGTAAATGTGCAGGCAGGCGTCATACTCAGTTTTGGTAAGCCAACATAATTCTTTGATTTTAGATGATGAATAGCAAGATACAGCATGTATATGTAGCTTTTAGAATCTACTGTGAATTTTTTTCCTCAAGTGAAATATTGAATGAAAGAGAGGGTAAAATGCCTCCTTGCCTGGCACGCAAACTCAAACACCCTTTTACACTTGATACATTCAAGTGTAAAAGGGCGTTTAACTGTATCATTCCAATGTCCCTATTTGCTACCAGCACTGTACATGGGCTTCATTGTTTCTGATTGTATTATAAAGTGAAATTGTATTGACTCATCAGCCGGTTTTATCTGCTAAAAAGGAGATCTGAAACTTACAATTGATTTGTAAATTCTTGTGATAACTGTAATGATGCAATGTTTTTATGGGACATTCTACACAGAATCGCCCAGTGACCAACCTTTAGCTTATGCCCTTCTTTCTGCCTTGATTTGTACTCGCATCACTTTGACGATTGTAGACGTAGCCTGGGTGTTTTGAATAATCACTTGATTTTTACTTGTCTTTCTTTAGTAATACAGTGTCTGTTTGTAGTTGAGAAATATATCAGGCATGTCAGTGGTGAGAATGCAACCAATGTTCTGTTTTGTGTGATGTTACGATTTGATCTGATCTTTGAATTTTGCTTAACTTAATGAAAATATGTTTTAATTGTGACTGACCATACATGTAAATATAGCAGCAACAATAATGGTAATAATGATGATAATACTAATATGTCTATTAAAACCAATAGTATTACATGTAATAATAATATTAATGACACTGATGCATGTACATGTAGTGACAATAATGATACATGTAGGCATTTGTATAACGTTCTCTATGGCGTTCTCTATTAACAAGAACTCCTTCTTTTTTTAGGCAAACAAGGAAAAATGGAAGTAAAACAAAGCCAAATGAATGATTTATTCTACAAGCATTGCTAAAAAAAAGTTTTCAACTTGGATTTGAATTTTTCTAATGATGTTGTAGTTATAAACTCCATTGTTCCATTGAAGGGGTCCTTTGCCTTGGTTGAAAAAGCACTTTGGCCACAGCTGACTCTTGTTCTTGGGATGTTGATGTGACGATGTTAAGGCTTCAAGATGCTATGTCCTGAAGGTAGTATTAGGAGCTCATCAGTTGATGAAATGCATGCCAGTCCGATGGGTAACAGTTGCAGAACAAGCAAATTGATTAAAAAACTTGTTGTCAATGCACATGTACAGGTCGATTTTGAAGTTAGCCATTCATTGAGTCACTAACAAATGTGAGCCATTCTTTGTAACCTGAATTAAACAGTATATTATCAGTAGAGTGCATCTCTTTCATATTGAAAATGCTTTAAAACCTTTTCTTAATCTGCTTCCAATACAACAAGGCTTTGATGTGTATACCGGTACAGATGTCATGTCACAGGATCACACGGTTCACAGTTTGAATCCCAGCCAGGGCTAAATGTCTTTGAATGACATTAATCTTGATTTCCACTCAGGTACATTGTATACTTAATGGGTACCTAGTAGGAACTTATTCCTTAGGCACCTGGGGGTGTTTCATAAAGCTGTGCGTAAAGTTATGCATTACTTTACGAATGACTTGAATATGAAGAGCTAAATAGGATTCTCAAATCCTTTTAATTGCATAAGCTAAAGTTGAAATTTGCAGATGTAGTTCAACCTTATCATTATTAACAAAACAAGTTAATGCAAAATGTATTGTTAGCTACAATTTAATTGAGGTTATGGGAAATACAGTCACACTTTGTTAAAATGTCAGGAAAACTTTGGGCATCGGACCATCCCATTTAGCTCTTCATATTCAAATCATTTGTAAAGTCATTCGTAACTTTATGCACAGCTTTAAAGTCATGGTAATGATGGTATTTTTATAAGCGCCTTGAGCATCCATTTGGATGGATATGTGCAGATTTTAAATGTAGTTATTATTTGTTATTCCTATTATATTTTAATACTACATTCATGTGAATATTTTGATTTTACTGATTTATCTTTTGCATCATGTATTTCAAGACCGTTGCTACATCATGAGAAACTCCCATAGAAATTCAAAAGATTCATCATATATGTCCAAGGTTGTTTTATCCTTTTTAACACAATTTTAATAACATCTGTTTAAAATTTGTATTAACATCTGTTATAAATGTTCAGGATTATGGCCATCCTTCACTGTAGTCTGATGTAAAAACATTACGCATTAAATTTCATATAGGTATGACTGCAAACTATGCATTGTAAATCTTCACATTATGTAATGTAGCCTAAAATACAAGCTGGCTGATGAACATGTATTTACCGTTTCATAGATAGCACATGAGCTTTTCTGTGCATTTTTACATCAAAGCGATATAGAGGTGCTTCATGAATACCTTTTGTGTAATAATGTGTCGTCTGTGCATAAATGAATGTCATGTAGCCAGAACTCAAATCTAGTAGAGTTTTTAAAACAATTTTAAAACTATTTTGTCTTGGTTCAATGGGCCTTCAGTATTTGAGGATTACTGCGAACATTGATGGTTGATGATTGTTTTACCAGACTGCTAAGAATGCAGTATATGCTTGTAAGTAAGCAACCAGGGGACCAATGGCTTTATGTTCAAGAGACTTGATAATGAGGATTGAGGGAGGAAGGGTACCAGCGCATTTATTTGGTTTTGAAGTCGGACCTGTCGGTTACAAGACCACTGCTCTACCACTGAGCCATCACGCCTCCTTGATGATAAGAAAGGCATTACCTGAATACCGGTGCATTACCTGGCCAGTTTGTATTTTCTTGACCATGTGATACATGAAGAGGAGTTTTATTCGGCTTTTTAAAATGTTGAAATGGTTGATTGTGAACAGTGACAAGATAAATTGTAAAATGTAATATACTGAGAATGAGGCTGTGCTTCTTAATCATCTGTAATTGATGACAATGCATGTTGTAATAGTGTTTTTTTTTATTGATAAAGTAATGATTGTATGTACACTATACCAATAAATCAAGTTGGCATGGCAGTGTCAAAATTGGTGATTACATGTAGATTTCCAGGTTTCTCTCTTTCTCATTTTTTGTTTGTAACTCGATCATAAAGACTTTCAAGAAAATGACCTAATTCAATTTCTGTTGTCTTGTTCATCGCCTTTTGAAATTGCAAAGGCTAATACATATCTGATGATGATTTTTAATAGCTTTTCAACAGATGTTGGAATTTCCCTCTAGTTAATATCATGAAAATCTTTGCAATCGTATTGCTACTTGTATTGTGGATGTTGTTTGTCGTTTCAGGGGGGGGGGGGATCTTTAAGATGGTCACTTCAGGATGCATGGAAGAATAGATGGACATCTACATCTAGGATCAGGGAAGGAGATAGGAGGCAACAGGGAAAGAGACTGAGAGAGACAGAGGGAGAGGGAGGGATATACAACACATGTTCTGGCAACAACCATTAAACCTGACCTTCACCCTCTCCCACAATCTATAAACTAAAACCCTATATGTTAAAGACAGGAGCAAATGTTAATCCTTAGAGTGAGAGATAAAAGTGTCCAGGGAAGGGGGAGAGAGAGAGAGAGAGAGAGAGAGAAAGGGAAGGAGGGAGAGGGAGAGAAAGGGAAGGAGGGAGAGAGAGAGGGGGGGGGGGAGAAATAAAGAAAAAAAGAGAGGGGAAGGGAGAAAGAGAGGGAGAGAGAGATAGATAATGTTTCAATACAGCCAGCTAGACATGATCATCTTCATTTTACATGTACAGCACGAGGCCACGAAACAAAGAATCTGTATGTATGTAAATCACTGTAAAATCAAAACATTTGATAGACATGACTTCTGCCAATTGGTGCCTTTATTGCAGCAAGAAATCCTAAGTGCAAAATTGCAGTTCATCAAAAATGCACTTTGCAAAATCTTTGGCATGCATTTACCACTTAAAGATCCCTGAAGCTATTTTGCCATCAAAAGTGTTTGGGTTGGTATTCTAAAAACTATGGTATAGTTAAGTCCCAAAGTTATTTGCAATTAAATTTTCCTGTTATAGGGTTACAGTCAAGTCTAGTGATGGGTACAGGATTTAAGCTCATTATTCATCTGGAGTAGGAAATTAAAGAGCCATCGTCACAGAACAAAGTGACCTACTGCCAGTTTCATACAAACAGTTCACATTGTAAGACAAAATGACAACTTTTACTATGATTGCATTTCTCTTCTTTTTTTTAATGATTTTTACAAGTAAAAATACAGTTGTAAAACAGTGAACAGCATTTTCAATCAATTTAGCACATGATAGAGCTGCCTGCTATGGAGACATAGAGGTATGTATTGTGCGACTTATCAACTTTTTTGACAGGCGTGTGTGTAATTGGATTTTTACAGATGTGTATCAATCAGATATGATTATTTACGTCTGGTGACCGACCTTTAATAGGGACTTTTAGATTTGCACAACGGAGAACGTGGACTGCCCTTTTAAGGCAATGTGACGTCCTTTTAAGGCACTGGCAGTGACGTCACATTGCCTTAAAAGGGCAGTCCACGTTCTCCGTCGTGCAAATCTAAAAGTCCCTAATGTCACCATCCAAAAGACATGACTCAGTTTTGACCCTGGTCAACCGAGTCAGTTTGTAGGTAAAAACAGAGAGCTAACCAAGTGAACATCTCCTATTTTAGCGATTATTTTTAACGGTTTACACGGTTTTGGAAGAAAAAGCGTAATGACTCAGCCATAGTGCAAAGTTGTCCAAAAATAGAAGGTAACATGTTGCTAAATCTTATGGCAAGAGTTGCAAATGAATTGTAATTTGAGGACCTCATGATGTATACATTTAACTTTAACATATAACTACTGTACATGGTATAATATGTCATATAAAACATAAAAAACTCAATCTAAAACTAATCAGAAAATTGTACCAATCACCTGGAAAAATAATTGTCTAGTTAGACTTAGAATGTCAAAAAACTCAAAGAATTCACCTCACATTTTATATAGCGGTTATTAGAATGAACAAATCTGACTTGGGTTCCTTGCGAGCATGCATCAATGAGTCTACTCAACAAGTCATTTTATGTTTACTGAGAGTCTACTTAAACTGCTACAGCTTTATAGATGCAATAATCTAAGCTCATATTTTTGAAGACAGTATTGCGTCATGGAACCCCTTACATTAAGAGCAAATCATTTGGTGATTGGTACAATTTAAAGCAAATCATTTGGTGATTGGTACAATTTAAAGCAAATATATTGTATAGTATATTTTCTCATTATTACATTGGTACTGGTAGTAGCACAATCAATATAATCAATGTATAACAATTACATTCTGATACTATCGGACTTTTATCGGTAGTATGAAAACTCTTCACTTCATAAAATAAACATCATTTCATCCATGCAACAGCATCTTGTTGAAGGAAAATTCCCTTAAACTTAAAGTGCAACAGCATTATAGATGCAATATTCCAAGCTCATCATTTTAAGGACAGTATAGCGACATGGAACCCCTCACACCAAGAGCATACATTTATTCTCATAATTATTCTCATTTCATTGGTGGTAGCATGATCAATATACATTATACATGTAATCAATGTATAAAAAGTACATGTTATATATATTGTTTTTTAAAGATTATGGAGTGGGAATTTTGACAACAGAGGAAGTTTCCAGCTTACCAAGCATACATGTAACTGAATAGAGTACCATATCAAGATTCCCATCATTTTCCCCTCAAATTTCACCCTTACTCTTAAAGGCCCACTGCACTACTTGTAGCTACTTGCGCCCTCTATATAACAAACAATGCCTAATCGGTGACCATTGGTCCCCCATGATCCTCTTTTTCTTATGTTAACTGAGAGCTGAGTTGATGAGATAACCACCTGTCCAGTGACCTTGCAGGGCGGTCTAATCCCTCCTATAAACTATGGCAGATAAGCTTTAACAAAGATTTTATAAAATATATTTAAACTAAATGGATCTTTGATTGCGTGCAGTCGAAAATGATGCCTCCGCCATACATGTAGAGCGATTTACAAACCAAAACAAAATCTGATCAGTTCATTGCCTCAGCAAGATACATACATGTCCTGAGATTGATGGTAATCTGTCCATCGATCATGAGCTATTTTTGCATCCATAATGAGCCCTGTGACCTTTGACCTTGTGACTCCAAAATCTAATCAGTTCATTGGTTCTGCACAATACATACAGGACCTAAGTTTGACAGGAATCCATCAATCGGTTCTCGAGATTACGGGACGGACGGAAGACCACAAAACATAATACCTACGGCTACTTCGTAACGGAGACATCCAGAGCACATGAGCCCCTAAACTTGAACTCCACTCCCCGATGTTTAAATCATAGCAGGGAGCCTAGCCCTAGATGCACACAAACCTTAACATTTCAATACAGACAGCTTGTGAAAGAGTGAGCGTGCTACCCTGCTTTAACAGTTATTTCACAGTGACATAGATTAACATGTATATATAACTGTCGATCAACATTAGCAATCATTTTTTTTGGTAATTAAAGCAGAGGTGCGTCTTTTCGCAGTATTGTTTGTCTAGCATGTTCCTAGGCATATATCAACAAATCAGATCATTTGTTTTCTCTATTCAGAGCCATCACTTTTATTTCTCTCTGGATCTTCCTTTTTCAATGATTCTCTCTCTTTCCACCAGTCAATACCATGCAGTTTCTTCTTGTGGTTCTTTAAGGTGACCTTATTGGTAAACGCCATCTCACACAACTCACAAACATACGGCTTATCTCCTGTATGCTGCCGCATATGTGCCTTGAGATTGCTACTCTGCGTGAACGACTTGTCGCACACTGAGCATGGATAAGGCTTAAGTCCACTGTGGATCAATAAATGTCGCCTGAGATGTTCCCGATTTTTCATGATCTTGCCACAGGTCGGGCACTGCGTACTCTTAATTTTATTGCTGTGGGCATCAGTAATATGACCCTTGAGGTATTCCTGGTGCTTAAACCTTGAGGGGCACTCTGGACATTGGACGTAATCGCTTTCCTTGATAACTAGGTGTGAGATTTCATGCATTTTGATATTACAACTTTTGATCATTTTACCGCACTGCTGACACAGTACACCATATCTAGGATTCTTGTTGTGGCATCTGTTAAGGTGTGTTCTAAAGCGCAAGAGCAATTTTTTGCACTCCCCACACCATCCCATGTCAAAATTGTGCTCCTTTTCAAATTTGCTTTTGATTGATTGGACGGCATCCTTGATTGCTTCTGGACCCTTATCAATCGGGATGTGTTTCTGTAAATGGCGCATAATTTTCTCTTTCTCTTTCCAGGCCTCAGAACATATCGGGCATGCTTCTGGAAACTTAAAGGCTGGTTTGCGGTTTTTGCTCTGGTGTTTTTTTCTTTTCTTAGCAGGTTCACCCTCAACGTCTTCATCACTATCTCCTCCATATTCAAAGCTGTCATCACTCTCAAGGCTGTCCTGGTCACCAAGACACCTACAGCAAATAGAAAAGAAACATAAACAAGCATTAGAGGTGTCGCAGTCTCGAGTGATGCTACATGTAGTGTACAATGATTTAGATGTAAAGTGTAGAAGGGTGCTTCTGTTCAATTTGTTCCCTACGAAAAATGCCCTTTATTGGTTTATTTCATCTACAGATAAAAAAATATGTTAATATGACAATCCTGTTTTTATTGATCACATCTAGAGATTTCTTTTTTTAATTTTTGGACAAAAGAAATTCATAAAAGTCGCTTCTGGACCATTGCAATCTCTCACATAACACTCAGCAAAACAAGAAAGTGGACACTATTTATAATCAAGGTTTTCACACAAATATTTTTATAAACTTATCTTTCATACAGTACTTGTATAACAAAATTGATTAATCCTCTTTAAGAACATATGCACTTGGAATATCATTCACACATGAGTGAGCATAGCCATTTATCAAAGAACTTCCCTTTACTTTTTCTCTAATGCAATTCCTTGGTTTTACCCTTCTATCATATTTGTTCTCTTCTTTTCTCCTTTTGCTTTTTTTCCATATCATTCCCTATGTATTTCTTTATTTTTCTCTTTTCTTTTTCTTTCTATTTTACCTTAATTTATTCATTGTTTTGTTTTTTTGCCTTCTATAATCTTTTCTTTTTATCTTTTTATCTTTCCTTATGTCAATCTTTATTTTATACTTCTACCAACTTTTTTTCTTTCTTTATTTCCTCCTGTCATCTTCCCTTGCGTTATTCTTTGCATTATCCTTCTATCATTGCTCTCTTTCTCTTCTCATGTTCTTCTATTTTTCCTCCTCATTTCATCTTTACATCCATCATGTTTTTCTTTGTTTTTTCTCCTGTTCTATTATAATTTTAGCACCAGCACAAGTTATACTACACATGCTCCTACTACATACACATATCATTGCTCCATGGTCATGCTCCTAGCGTAGTTGTTAGTTGTTCCCAGGTAGGGCAAACATTATGGCTTGCCCTACCTAGCAACACTTTATATATATACAATTTGCATTCTGACTATTAAAATACAATTATTCATTACAGCTGAATGAAATATTTGTATTAAGGCACTCCACAAAGACGTAAGCATTAAATGCGGTTACATTACGAATATGGTTTACCGTGTCCAGGGCCACTCAATGACATGTGGACCATTGTCCTTGCTATGGAATATGAGGGCAAGGTCAAGGTCAAGGTCAAGGTTCAGCATCTGGTCATTTCCCGCCACATATGCTATCAAGCTTTATGGAATAATTTTGTGTCCCCTATGTGAAAAAAGTATTGTGTAGTTCTGAACATAAAATTGAAATGAAATGACCACAAAATATAATCAGTTCATCAACTTCATTGGCTCAGCAAGATACATGTACATGACCTAAGTTTGGCAGCCTTATGGCAGGAATCCATCAATCAGTTCTTGAGATAACGCACTCAGAAGCTATTTTTGCATACATAATGAGCCCTGTGGCCTTTGACCTCGTGACCCCATAATCTAATCGTTCATTAGCTCTGCAAGATACATACATGTACATGACCTAAGTTTGGGAGGAATCCATCAATCAGTTCTTGAGATAACGCAATCATGAGAACAGGACATACAGACGTACGGACGGACAGACAACCCGAAAACATAATGCCTCTGGCTACTTTGTAACGAAGGCGTAAAATTACCATGGAGTTTCCAGACTGATGTCTTTCTATAGGAATACTTACTTGGAAGACTTAGCCCTGCTGGATCCTGGTATATCCTTGCCGTTCTTTGACTGTTGTATAAACAAATGAAACCATTGAGATTACATGTACGTTCAATTGAATGTCATAGTGTCAAGAAATACGGGATCTAAAATGTGCATGATCTGATGGTCTTTAAGTAAACCGTTAGCACTTCAAATAATAATAATAATAATAATAATAATAATATACTGTATACCTCAAAAGTGTAATGAATAAACAAATATGTTTTTTGTATCTTCAAATTGGATATAAATGCAGAAAGGCGTCTTCTGCCCTAGTTTCGAAATCATGTTATCGTAAACAGGTAGACCCCGGCCTCTACGTGTATATACCATGCACTGCACCAGCTAAATGTAGAACCAGCTAGATTTGGGCTACGGTCGCTGTTTTGAGGGGAATATACATGAACATGTATATATCTTTTAATCTGACCGACCGACCCAGGTTCTGGCGCCTAAAGGGCAATACAACATCTTTTTTGTTTAGGCCTCATATTGCGCAATTTCTGTCCTAGATCATATCAGTGCACTTTACATAAACTACATAATTATTACCCTAGCTTTAGCCATTACCAGCGCACAGTGCACTTCAAGGAATAATCATACCAGGTCTCCATTTACTGCACCTGGGTCGAGTGTGGGGCAATTCCACGGTAACGGAAGGACACTCAGACAACATTTTTGAACTTCAGGTTCATACTAAAAGAAATGTTTTATTAGTATGTATTAAACTATGGGGAACAAAATGTGTTTCAGTCAAGTGGAAAGCTTCATCAACTTCACAAAGTTTGGATAAACACTAATTAACTGGAAAAACCATGTCCATTTTTATGTCCTTCCGTTACCGAGATAATGAATATGCACATTCTTAAACTACTTAACTATAATGACAATTTTTTGGGGAGAATTAAAGGCACTTATATAGGTATTATATCTGTACTGTTTCACATCTTATACTAATAAAACAGTTCTTTTAGTATGAACCTGAAGTTCAAAAATCTTGTCTGAGTGTCCTTCCGTTACCGTGGAATTGCCCTGTGGCAAATGTAGATTAATGTCTGAAGGGGTAATATATCTGTTCAATAACTTAGTCAATCTGCTGAGTGCTGACTGAGTAATTTTGCATAGATGAAGTCAAAGAGAAAAAAAGTACAAATACATTAATTATTCTCACTGTAAAATCTAGGACATGCTTACCAAGTTAGTAAACAGAAGCAAAACTTGGCTAAATGTTGAAAGACATGTTTTTTTCCACATATTTATAGTACCCCTGATATGTACTTACCGAATGTTGGGGCATACTGGCTGAAGGGTCATAAGTAGGGTCCAAAAGCTCTTGTTCTTCATAGTCTATTTCCTCATCATCTTCCATATCATCCTCTTCATCCTGCTCCTCGTCTTCCATATTGTCCTCTTCCTCTTCCTTGTCCTTCTCCTCTTCCTCCTCTTCATACCACCCTGTTTCAGAATGCTCGAGCTTGCTATCAGATCCAAATTCTTGGTCTCGCATTGGATCAAAGAACGACTCTTCATCTGAATGCACAGAGTTTGAATGCTCCGGGTCTGACATAACTTCTTCTTTCACAAAGACTGTGACCGGACGATCTGTCACTCTCGACAGCTTTTTGTCAGGATGGAATTCTTTCCCATCGTCCAATGTCCTACTACCATCATCATAGATGTAATCCTCTGTGTTATCTTTTTCATCAATGCACTTTGCCTGACTGAACTCTTGATTAGGCAACTGCTCAAAGCCTTCCATGGATTCAACAGGTTCCATCTTCACCACATGAGTTGATCCAGGAATATCTTGGCCAGTCAGAAGGCCCTGGCCTGGAACCTGCACGACACATCTTGCTGGGAGCTGAGAAGATCCTGTAAGGTTTCCATGCAAAGGCTGTGCTGCCTGCAAGTTTGAACCAATCAGCATTAGACTGTTAAATGCCTGTGGAGTCATACTAGGTCTAACATGTTGTGGGCCGCTAGGTTGTATCCTTGTTAAAGGTGACATGGGTTTGGTAGGTGGAAAGCTTCCACAATGACTACAGCTGTATACATCAGGCATAGTTTGAGTTGATTGATCTACACACACACTCTTCTTCATTGGCAGGAATCTGAAACAGATAAAAAGAAGAAAGAAAAAAAATTCAGTTTAAGATAGAGCAGAGATCGGATAGAGTGATTGCATTGTGAAAGAAAATATCAGGAGGCAATTATAAGCAAAGGTTGATTAAAGGGAAAGTCCACCCCCAAAATAAGTTTGTTTCGATAGAGGCAGAATAATAAGAAAATCAGGTGAGTGAAAGTTTGAGCAAATTCTGAATGAAAATAAGAAAGTTATGAATTATTGAAGTTGTGATCAATCAACGTATCATGCGAGCTCAACTTCCATTTGCTCAGTACTAAAAAAATCTAAAATTTTCATTTTCCCTCAAAAAAAAATTGCAACCATACATGCACCCTAAATATTGCAAATATGTTTCTATACTCCCCCTGCAAGGAACAAATATATATTCCGTCATCAATAACGAAGAAAACATGATTTTATGGAATATTATGCACAAAGCAAATGAAGGAGACCTCGTATAATAAGTCACAGAGTTGCCAATTTGTATTTGATTGATCACAACTTCAATAATTCATAACTTTCTTATTTTCATTCAGAATTTGCTCAAACTTTCACTCACCTGATTTTCTTATTATTCTGCCTCTATCGAAACAAACTTATTTTGGGGGTGGACTTTCCCTTTAAGTGTACTGTAGCACATGAGAATATTGGTGTTACTGTGATATTTTAGAATCTGTAATGTCATGACTCAGTCTTACTGAAAACCACATGCACACAAAAATGGGTATGGGACGACAAACTCATGTGGCATGGAAGTTTGATCCAAACTTGTCCATTCTCTCTTGTTATAATTCCTGAAGGGCAGTCTTTTTCAGAAGGTACTTCTTCTATGGCGGCAGGCTCGGCTATAATGAGATTTCAGCTATTACGAGCTCAATCCCATGCCCGAAAAACAAAGAAAAACATTGTTACCGGTAATCATTCCCATTATAACAAACTATTTCACTACTCTTTGTGTGTATGATAGGTCCTTGGAGTAAACCTTCTTTCCTTCGCAATCACAGTGAATCAGTGAAAAAAAATATACGGGGCTCGGGGCAAATTAGCCCCCGAAATGCCTAAAAGAGCCCCCGAAAATCAGAAAAGAGCCCTTGTAAATTTACATAGAGTTCAATGCAAAAAAAAATTTAGAATGTTATTTTCATGCAAACAAGCTTGAAAAGTAGCCCCCTAAAAATAAATATTAATTTTTTTCCCTGCAGTGAATGATGTTGAGCTGAGCGCTGGCTACACGTTGGAAGCAGGAAGCCCTAATATCCTTATAGGTGCCTTCTTTCATTCTTTGCTTTCTTTCTTTGTTATTTTACTCCCTTGCTAGTACATACATGTATATGCTCCATTCTGACCACGCTCAACGGCTTGAAGAATTTCCATCTTTCTTTGTAAACAAAAGTCTTGACGCTATTTAGCAGTAGATTTAAGGCTGCGACGAGTACTCGCACTGTTGAACTACTCAAGTACGATTTCTCGTACTCTAATACACAGCAGCCACTTTTCTTCTTTTTTCCCCAATTGATACCCCTCCACCTGTCAGTGTGCCGGCCGGCCGGCCGACGCTCACCCGTGCCCGGAAAAGCACCGGCATGGTACCGAAAGTAAAATGTTTCCCAGCTCAATCATACACAGGGTGTCACTGTCAACTCACCACTCAGAAACTAGGACCAAACTAGCTGCCAATGTCCCGATTTCTGTTTGAACTTGGAGGACAATTTGTCTGTCATCTTTACTTTTAAAAGCAACATTGTTACTGTTATTTGTGAGAAATTGTGAGTAAAATAGCGTGGGTTTTCATAGCCGGACCTGGGTGCTTCCTAGTTCCTAAAACGGCGCCGATTTAACCTGAATTTTTCTTCATTGACTCTCCAGAATACTTCCACCCATCAAATCACAGTTGATCGCCAGTAATCAAAACAAACGACCCCTTGTCGTCAGCGAGTCGTCATCCCTTCACTACTCCAATGTACCCAAACCTTCTTATCTTTTAGCTTTTGTAAGCACCATTATGTTCAAACAGAGAAGTTTATAAGGAAAAAAAATACATCACACGCCTTTGAAGCACAAATGTATAAAGAACTTTTATCACACTCTCCTCTCAAACTTCAAACTTCAAAAGCACAGAGGCATATCACAAGCATTTACAAGCATGGCATGACCTTCCTTACAAGTCTTCTCCACCCTGACCTCTATAGGCTAAGCTTTCTTAAGGTCTCCTGACTCTCCTCCTTCTTTTTTCTTCACTTAAATGAATTATGTGAACTTGTCCCTTATAAGTCTTTCTTTTCAGGGAAAAAAATAATTTAATGATTTCGGGGGCTGCTTTTCAAGCTTGCTTGCATGAAAATAACACCTTTTAATTTGTTTTGCATTGAACTCTAGATCTATGCAAAAAATGTTGGGCTCTTTTTGGGTGCTAATTCGCCCAGAGCCCCTGTGTATTGTTTTCCCTGCTTCTTGTATACATAATTGTTCAATTGTATTACATTCATGTTGGAAAAAAAAACAATTAAACATGAACTATATTGGCAAAAAACAGGTTTTAAAAAAAGATGGTAACGTTAAAGATAAAGGTGAGTTCTGGTCATCCGATTACATTGTGAAAGAAAAGGTGCGGAATGGATCAGAGAAAGTTGATCATGTATTGGTGTGTGCACTGCAAAGTTCTGGAGTTATCAAAATCATAATAAATTTGGCCAAGTCTTGGTAAAGTAACAAGCACTGTACACAGAAAGATGGGACTACACAAATGGTGACAGGGCTACTAACCTTGATTTCCTAATCTTTCTATGGTCATTACTCAGCCAGCATAAATTTTCCACCAAAATTGTTTGGCAAATGACATTTATTTGTAATCTTGAACATTCAGTGTAATTTTCATGTGATTTTTTTTACCAGAAGTCACGTTTATCTTTAATTTTACCTCTTTTAAAGATAAAAACGAGTTATGGTCATGCGATTGCATTGTAAAAGAAACTTTGTGAAATCGATCAGAAAAAGTTGATCATCTAGCATAGATGTACTGCAAGGTTCTGGAATCATCAAAATGATACTAAATTTGGCCCAGTCTTCATAAAGTTACAAGCACTGTACACAGAAAGAGGTATATGGGACTACGCACATGTGCGCGACATGTGCGTTTTTATCTCTCACAGTCCAATAGATAAACTAATTTACCAAATATATCAAATAGTAGGCGGTAAGCCTAAGTCATTACGTTTTTTGTGCTAAAAGTTTAACCGTTAAAAGTATACGGGCGGTTTCGTTTAACTCTCAAGCATTCAGTTATTTCGATAAAGACATACCGATAATGTTTTTAGATCTCCGGAGGGGCAACAAAACCTTGCTGATACTTATTGTTTTTAGATCTCCGTAGGGGCAACAAAACCTTGCCAATAATTATTGTTTTTAGATCTTCGTAGGGGCAACAAAACCTTGCCGATAATTATTGTTCTTAGATCTCCGGAGGGGCAACAAAACCTTGCCAATATTTATTGTTTTTAGATCTCCGTAGGGGCAACAAAGTCTCGCCAGTAATTATTGTTTTTAGATCTCCGTAGGGGCAACAAAGTCTTGCCAGTAATTATTGTTTTTAGATCTCCGTAGGGGCAACAAAACCTTGACGATAATCGTTGTTTTAAGATCTCCGGAGGGGCATCAGCCTTGCCGATAATTATTGTTTTTAGATCTCCCGAGGGGCAACAAAACCTTGCCGACAATTATTGTTTTTAGATCTCCGGAGAGTCAACAAAACCCTGCCGATAATTATTGCTTTTAGATATAGGGGCAACAAAGTCTTGCCAGTAATTATTGTTTTTAGATCTCCGTAGGGGCATCAGCCTTGCCGATAATTATTGTTTTTAGATCTCCCGAGGGGCAACAAAACCTTGCCAATATTTATTGTTTTTAGATCTCCGTAGGGGCAACAAAGTCTTGCCAGTAATTATTGTTTTTAGATCTCCGTAGGGGCAACAAAGTCTTGCCAGTAATTATTGTTTTTAGATCTCCGTAGGGGCAACAAAACCTTGCCAATAATTATTGTTTTTAGATCTTCGTAGGGGCAACAAAACCGTGCCGATAATTATTGTTCTTAGATCTCCGGAGGGGCAACAAAACCTTGCCAATATTTATTGTTTTTAGATCTCCGTAGGGGCAACAAAGTCTTGCCAGTAATTATTGTTTTTAGATCTCCGTAGGGGCAACAAAGTCTTGCCAGTAATTATTGTTTTTAGATCTCCGTAGGGGCAACAAAATCTTGACGATAATCGTTGTTTTAAGATCTCCGGAGGGGCATCAGCCTTGCCGATAATTATTGTTTTTAGATCTCCCGAGGGGCAACAAAACCTTGCCGACAATTATTGTTTATAGATCTCCGGAGAGTCAACAAAACCCTGCCGATAATTATTGCTTTTAGATATAGGGGCAACAAAGTCTTGCCAGTAATTATTGTTTTTAGATCTCCGTAGGGGCAACAAAGTCTTGCCAGTAATTATTGTTTTTAGATCTTCGTAGGGGCATCAGCCTTGCCGATAATTATTGTTTTTAGATCTCCGTAGGGGCAACAAAGTCTTGCCAGTAATTATTGTTTTTAGATCTCCGTAGGGGCAACAAAGTCTTGCCAGTAATTATTGTTTTTAGATCTCCGTAGGGGCAACAAAACCTTGCCAATAATTATTGTTTTTAGATCTTCGTAGGGGCAACAAAACCTTGCCGATAATTATTGTTCTTAAGTCTCCGGAGGGGCAACAAAACCTTGCCAATATTTATTGTTTTTAGATCTCCGTAGGGGCAACAAAGTCTTGCCGGTAATTATTGTTTTTAGATCTCCGTAGGGGCAACAAAGTCTTGCCAGTAATTATTGTTTTTAGATCTCCGTAGGGGCAACAAAACCTTGACGATAATCGTTGTTTTAAGATCTCCGGAGGGGCATCAGCCTTGCCGATAATTATTGTTTTTAGAGTTCCCGAGGGGCAACAAAACCTTGCCGACAAT